GTTTTTGGCCGCCTCGACGACACGCTGAACTTGCTGTTCCATGCGCTGCATGTGGTTCTCGGGCCCGCGTTGGTGACGACGCATGCCACCCTGGCGGCTCCCAGTCTGGAAAAAGATAAGTCTGCGCAAAGTTGTTGAGCGGCTGGTTGGGATGCTGGCGCTGGCTGCCCTGAATTTGGCTGTGGACCTGGTAGTAAAAGTCCTCGGTCAGAGACTCGTCGGTGCCGTGATCATTCGGGTTGCCGGTGGCGGCGACAAGCTGTTGAAGCTGAATCCGAGTGACGAAGCTCTTGTCTTGCGGTGTCATCATACCATTGTCGCGGGACATGAGGAATATCTTGTGATTGCGTTTAGCTCTCTTCGCCTCCTGCTCCAAGTAGGCCGCCTTCTCTTCCTCGTTGAGCTGAGCCAACTGGGACGGATGAGTGATAATTTGCGGTTGGCGCGAAAGCGAGCCTTGCTGTCTATGGGCGGGGTGAGCCGGGTAACTCGCTGGCATTGTCGGGGTAGGATGTTGGCGCATTCCGAGTCTGGCAGCATCTCCGGAGAGGCGGTTAGGGTTTTGCAGAATCTGCGTCGGCTGCATCGAAGCTGACGGCTGCTGGCGTAGATGAGCTGCGGGCTGGGTGGGAGGCTGCGGAGAAGGAGCTTGCTTGGAACCGGGCCTCTGCAAAATGGTCACATGATGTCCATGTCCATGAGCAGCGGCTTGATCCTTCTGCGCATGGTCGGCTTGCGAGGGGGGTTGATGCTGACCATGTTGCTGAAACTGGTAGGCTTGATCATAGTGCATCGGCGGGACTTGCGCCTGAGAACTAGCCGGAATGGCAGCCGCCGGAGGCGCCGAGGATGGCGTGGCTTGCGTAGCCTTTTTGACTTGGGCTCGCATTTGGGCCTCAACCTCTTCCAGGCTTAGCACCTTTCGGCTCGGGGCCGCTGCGGGTGCGGGGGCCGGAGAGGCAGCGGGAACCGTCTGAGGCTGGGGCTGTTTCTTCGGCGCAACGCCCCAAAGAGCGGCGTCAACCTGGAGCTCAGCGACCGGCTCGGCGCTGTACTTTTCATAGCCAGTCCGGGCCAGGCTTATAAGCAGCCTGTTGGGGATAATAACCATAGGATGACGGACCGGCAGCAGCTTGCTGAGGGGCGGCGTATGCCGGGGTTTGCGTTGCTGGCTGCGGGGCTCTTGCAGCAGGTTGCTGTCGGGTGAAACGAACATGCTCTTCTTCGATGGCATCGGCGACCTTGGCGGTAGTATTGAAAAAGTCGAAATCCTTGCCCACCGGCCCGGTATCAAGGCCGGCCGTGTCACCGAATGTATCATCATTGAAAGCATCGCCTGTCTCTTCCAGATGGTCACCAAGCCCATCGTACGTGTCCTCAAACTCTAGCGCATCGCCTTCGTCCTCGCGGTTCGACAGCCCGGCAAAAGGGTTGTGGGCTTGCGAGAAGCCAGTGGCCGCGGGGTTATGGCGGCTGGCATCGAAGCCGAAAAAAGACATGATTACTGCGTCGAGATATTGATCGGGAACGACGGGAGGGTTACTATTGGCAGTGTTAGTTGGCAATTTTCGAGCTTTCCGAAGTGCGAAACAACCACATTCGCGGGGTCAAAATCAAGGCGGGGGTCGTGACAGTCTGCCCATCCCGGGCAGTTTCATGACATATCGCGAAAAATTACAATATGCTACGCGCAACCGTTACTTACAGCGAAGAATGTAAGAATATTGGGTTGATCGAATCGGTCAAGTGGCATTGTGATTCGAGCAACGCGACTTGACTCTCGACGCCGATGCTGGTTCCAAGGGCAGGCAGGAATGCCGAGAAATGATGGCGATGAGCGGGGTTCTCCAACTGGCTCTGGATAAGCCGGAAATGGCGTTTCGCGATCGGGGCGCGAGGGAAAAAGGAGTTACACGAGTTGTGTCGCAACTTGAAGGAGGCCAACTCTGAAGATGGAGTTCGCTTGTGGGTCGAGCTCGCTGGCGAGAAGTAACAACAGCTTGTGGAAGTGGGAGAGGTGGGATGCAGAGACGGGAATTATCCGACAAACCAATCGGCGTGAGAGTCAGTTGGCTCGGTGGGGCTCCGACTCAGGTCTGTGCCAAGCAACGTGCCAAGCAAATCTCAACTTCGTGCAGCTCCCATGGGTTGGAGTTCTTCGGAGACTTCTATCAGAAGCAACTCATGCATCGCGCGTCATGGAAGATAAAAGACCCTATGCCTACCATTCTCAACCCAGGCGGGGCCGTCAAGGAGTTTCAATAAGCCGCATTTTATCTGACTCGTCCAATTTCAAGTTATCAGCCTTTACACTTGGTCGCTGCCTAGGTTACAGAAGCCACGCTTCCCCAGTCACACCTACTTCGTAGAGATTCGCCAGCATTCCTGACCTGGATGTTCCATTCCCGGGCCTTTTACGGTAGTTTATCCTCCTTTTGACAATGCTCACGATAACAGTTGTGTTTGGTGCCGTCCCTTGGGGTTTGAGAGGACATGCCGGGGCGGCTTGGCTTCGTATTTCCGGTCTGGGAGACCGATGGGAAGCCACTTCCAGTGCCTTGAGCAGCATGCGACCCGACCCGGCAATATGGTTTCGTCCCGTGGCCCCCTGCAGCAACGTGCCGGGCCAACGTTTAAATTCGCTGAGCATGAGAACCGGTAGCTATAATCTTCTGTGGGAGCGAACCGTTGAAAGATTTTTCGTCCGTGTTACAGTAGGAATTAGTGTAGTAAAGTACCGACTTGATGATGGTTACAACTCAGCCGGGAGCGTCCGTGATCGGGCATTTCGTGGCTCACGATTTGGGAGGGAAGTTGTGTGCCAGGAGTCGAGGCACGCAGCGGGTCTCTGCAATACGAGATTACTCCGTCTGAAAGTCTCCCACTAATAAAAATCGTCCCTGATGCCTCCCAACTTTGTCCTGCGAATCTGTTACACGTGCCGCCAAGCCGAAATTGATGCTAAGATTTAGCGTACCTCCATACTATTCTCCCTCTCCCGACAAGGCAACGCTGCGCACTGCACGAGTCCAGTGACATTGCAACCTGGAACTGGCCTTTTAACTCTCGACGGTCGTTTTTCTCGGCAGCCCAAAGCACCTCACTTTCCTCACATTGCCCTATCTCCCTTCCAGTTCCGAGGATCGATTAAACGCGATTTCATTGAGGTGCACACATTAATGACCGATTAACTAGTCAAACTGACACTTGTATTCGTGGACGCGAGGTCCCCCCACCAACACCCGTCGATCTTTGGCTGTGCCGGCTCGCCACTAAACCGATTTGCCCTTGGGACGCCCAAACGCCCTGGAAAGGTCAAACGACCGACTTTTTCCCATTCTTTCTAGACGCTCTGGGTATTGACAACCTCCGGGTTGATTGTGAAGTCCCACATCATGGCCGCCGGAAGCGCGCGCTATGTGCGCTACATCCTCATAACCTTCTTCGTAAGTGCCCCCTCCGTCGGGGTGTCGCGGGTTGGCCGCCACATGGCGCTGACAATGTCCCAGATCCTCGCAGTATTTTACTTTGTGTCGAACTCGGCAGACGTCACCACGCTGAGGACACACCTTCCCAATACGAACCCAGCAGCCGGTGGCAACAGCGATTCGACAGCTGCCGGAGCCTCCCCGAACGAAGCTAAAGTTAAGACCAACTATGACGCCTCGAAGTTTCCCATGGCGATGACGCCCAATGACCCAGGCTGGAACGACTTGGCGGGCATTAAGGAAGGCCCGCGGATGAATGCCACGTTTGTGACGCTGGCCCGCAACTCCGATGTGTGGGAGATTGCAAAGTCGATCCGCCAGGTCGAGGACCGCTTTAATCGGCGGTACAACTACGACTGGGTCTTCCTCAACGACAAGGAGTTCGATGACACGTTCAAAACAGTGACGACCTCGCTTGTGTCCGGCAAAACCCACTACGGACTGATTCCCAAGGAGCATTGGTCCTTCCCGGATTGGATCGACCAGGACAAGGCCGCGAAGGTGCGCGAGGACATGAAGGAGCGGAAGATCATTTATGGCGACAGCATCAGTTACCGCCACATGTGCCGCTTTGAGTCGGGATTCTTCTTCCGGCAGGAGCTCATGTTGAACTACGAGTACTACTGGCGTGTTGAGCCGAGCGTGGAGCTCTACTGCGACGTCCACTACGACCCCTTCCGTTACATGCACGAGAACAAGAAGAAGTACAGCTTCGTACTTAGTTTGTACGAGTATTACGACACCATTCCGACCCTGTGGGACAGCACCAAGAAGTTTATAAAGAACCACCCCGAGCACATCGCCGCGGGTAACTCGATGGGCTTCCTGAGTGACGACGGCGGCGAGACGTACAACAAGTGCCACTTCGTAAGCCATTCCTAATCACCCAACTTACTTAGCTACTTTCTGCTAACGCTGGCTTAGTGGTCCAACTTTGAGGTTGGTAATCTCAACTGGCTCCGGTCCAAGCCGTACATCGACTTTTTCGAGAGCCTGGACCGGGACGGCGGCTTCTTCTACGAGCGCTGGGGCGATGCACCCGTGCATTCAATCGCGGCTGGATTGATGCTACCGAAGGAGGAGATTCACTTCTTCAACGACATTGCCTACTTCCACGTGCCATTTACCCACTGCCCGACGGGTCAAAAGACACGGACGGACCTTAAGTGTCACTGCAACCCAGACGAAAACTTTGACTGGAAGGGCTATTCTTGTAAGATATCAATTAAATTCGGTGCTTGGAAATATTGCTAACTCATAACCCAATAGGCACTTCTAAATTCTTCGAGATCAACGGCATGGAAAAGCCCGAGGGCTGGGATCAAGAGGGAAAAGACTGATCAGATGACGAAACGAACCAGTCACCACGCTATGTTTGCCAATTTGCTTGGCCATGTCATCTTCAGCGGAAGGGGTTTTATTGTTTCGTGAAATCTTCTGAGTCCTAGACCGGAACAGGTGCTACGACTTTAGGGTTGGGAGGGCGTCAAGGGGCCATGCAATTTGGGCATCTCTGGGCATCGTCGGATTTCTAACGGGGTAGGGGGTTGATGCGAGTCACCATTAGTGTACTGACCAGGAGCAATGCTGGCAGTGCTATTTTCGTCGTATATATTTTTTGCATTCTTATTGGCGGTTCCATGATGGTGAAATTTAGATGTTTTTGATGCCAATTGTGCATCATATGGCTCGCAACGCTGACCAGTGATCGCGGTACCTAAGCTCCCTCAGCACATTTTTCCTTGTCTAGGTTTACGTTCGTACTCGACGGGTCATTCACAACAATGTGGCCTAACCCGTAGTGAAGTTTGGGTCATCTTCGGATTATACAGGATATGGTACAAAGTGTTTGGTCCCAGGGTATATCACCAAGGCGCCCACCAGCCGCCTTTGTGTCTCTAACCCGCCCAACGCCGCTGTGGTAGACCTTGTTTAACCAACCGACGCCTTCTTGGGCTTCTTCGTCCCGTATTTACTCCTGCTGCTCATCCGGCTACCGACACCACCCTAGAGAAAGCCTAGTCAGCCATGCCCCTTCTGGTAACGCCTCCCATTGCACGGAGTAAGATGCGCAATTTCTTGTTCAAAACGTAGACTCACCAAATCCAACGCCCCCCTCACCAAATGGTAGCGCACACCGGGACAGTCCTGGCTGCGGCCGCCACGCACGAGCACCACACTGTGCTGCTGGATGTTGTGGCCCTCGCCGGGGATGTACGCCGTGATGACCTTGCCTGTCGACAACCGCACACGCGCCGTCTTGCGTTCGCCCGAGTTGGGCTTCTTGGGCTTGGTAATGCCCACCTTCACGCACACGCCTTTCAGCTCGGGCGCCTTGATCGCCGACAGTGCCGGCGAGACGGCGTGGCGCGCTCGCTGCTGCTTACGGCAGCCCTGTTTTGGGGAGGAGACACGGTTGGTTAGAATGATGGTGGGCTCGGGTAAACTGAGGACGTGGTGGACGGGAATGGGGAGCGTACGCGGAGGACTTGGTTGAGGGTCGCGCTCTGGGACGGCGTCGTCGAGAATGCGCGAGCGATCGGGGTCGGGGTCGGGGTGGTGGATTTGGCGAGGGTTGGCCGGAGTGCTGGCCGGAGCACTATGTTGCGGAGGAAGGCCGTCGCCATGGTTGTGGTCGTCGTGGGGTTATTGGCACGACGGAGGGCCCGGTCCAGCACGTCGTCGTCGTCGAGCGAACTTCGGATGCGAGCAGAATTGAGTGGGGCTTCTGGAACTTTTGAGGTCACGGGGCTTTGCACGTGGTTCAGCGGCAATTGTCGGTTTAGTGGAGAACCCCGGCCGCTGGTCACATGGCGATTTCGTCTCCCTGCTGGTGGGCGGCAGCCCGCTGTGTGGGGAAGCCGTTACGCTCTTGGGGGGGTAACCTCGGCTTCGTTGCCGCTGGGACGGTTCCCTGGGGACCGACGGAATTCTCCCCTTCGGCCGTCTAAAACCGTTGACCGCCGTCCAAGTAACTTACCCAGAAGCCGTGAACAAAACCCGTCTTAGATTACTGTGACTCCTCCGGATTCCACAGAGCAGGCGTTATTCCTCCGCTCTCCTTGGCCGCCTTGTGTCTTACGACTCCGTTCTACCCCTCCATTCCCGTTGAATTCGCAATATGAGATCTTTTGCAAGAGCATTGCGCCCTGCGGTGCGAAGGAGTGTTGCTGTATCCTCTCCCAGGATACGGCAGCCGTTTGTTGCCCAATGGTGAGTTGTGAACTTTCCCCAAAAACTAAGCAGGGAAGCAGCAGCCTATAATCATGGCAGCGCGAGGCTTTCACGACACCAGTGGCTAATGTACTCCGTCCTCCCTAACAGCGCTCGCCCTCTTTCCACAACTGCGCCCCTGCGCGACCCCAACCTTGCTGATGTTGCCCCGACACCTATCACGCATTTCTCCGAGGTCGAGACGGCGATGGCCGAGACGGTGCAGAAGTTCGCCAACGATGTCATTCTGCCCAAGGTCCGGGATATGGACGAGGCGGAACAGATGGACCCGACAGTCGTGGAACAACTGTTCGAGCAGGGTTTGATGGGAATCGAAATCCCTGAAGATTACGGAGGTGCAGGCATGAACTTTACCGCCGCCATCGTTGGCATCGAGGAGCTCGCCCGTGTCGACCCCTCAGTGTCGGTCATGGTGGATGTGCACAACACACTGGTCAACACGGCCGTGATCAAGTGGGGCAGTGAGTCGCTGAAGAAGAAATACCTCCCGCGCCTTGCGACCAACACCGTGGGGTCTTTCTGCTTGTCAGAGCCCGTCAGTGGCTCTGATGCGTTTGCCCTGGCGACGAAGGCCACCGAGACGGAGAGCGGGTTCAAGATCAGCGGCAGCAAAATGTGGATCACGAACAGCATGGAGGCCGAGTTCTTCATTGTATTTGCCAACCTCGACCCCAGCAAGGGCTACCGTGGGATCACCGCCTTCATTGTCGACAAGGACACGAAGGGCTTCAGCATCGCCAAAAAGGAGAAGAAGCTGGGCATCAAGGCGAGCAGTACTTGCGTGCTCAACTTTGATGATGTCGAGGTACCTAAGGAGAACCTGCTCGGCGAGCGGGGCCAAGGGTATAAGTATGCCATCTCCCTGTTGAACGAGGGCCGCATCGGCATTGGCGCCCAAATGACAGGCCTCGCTCTCGGTGCTTGGGAGAATGCTGTCAAGTACGTATGGAACGACCGGAAGCAGTTCGGCCAGCTGGTAGGCGAGTTCCAGGGCATGCAGCACCAGATCGCACAGTCTTACACTGAGATTACCGCGGCTCGCGCGCTGGTGTACAATGCTGCCCGCAAGAAGGAGGCTGGCGAGAACTTCGTTATGGACGCGGCTATGGCCAAGCTATATGCTTCGCAGGTGGCTGGGCGTGTGAGTGGTCTGGCAGTTGAGTGGATGGGAGGGATGGGTTTCGTGCGCGAGGGTCTGGCAGAGAAGTTTTGGCGCGATAGCAAGATCGGCGCCATTTACGAGGGCACGAGCAACATCCAGTAAGACCTTACCTCTCCATCTCAGACAAATGGACGCATACTAACAGTTAGCAAGACTCAACACCATTGCCAAGACGCTGCAGAAGGATTACACGGTTTAATGGCGCGCAGAACCTTGGTATCTTGGAAACGGAGTTTGGCAAGGGGGTTCGGGGTAACGGGGCCTGGGTCGAATAAATATTATATAGACCACCACTGCTATCATTTCGGCGGTTGAGACGCTTGTTCCCTTTCATGCGTGCGATCACATGCACTGTGGTGCATCAACACGTTCCGTTTGGTTGTCTTTCCTAGTGTGTCTGTCTATACAGAGACGCGACCCTCGAGTTGCTAAAACCTACTCCACGTTTGAGGCACTCGTAAACTCAACGATGCTAGCCTAGCTCCTCACCTCGGGTGTGTGATTTGCATCTCATGTTGATCCAAGAGAAAATGGCCGCGCTGATAGGTCGGGCCACCGGGCTGTTCCGAAGTCCTACGGTCAGTCCTACCAAGAAATGGGAGCGATTCGTCACAAACTCGATGAAGATCCTAGAGTGTTTGACACAAGAAGGTGAAACCGGTGTAAAAAAAACCCATGAGATGAGATGAAAATACATGTCTGGGTGAAGTAATGAGGCAACGAGGTCTCAGCAAAAATTAACCTCCATCCGTGCAATCGACACTCCAAACTAATCCTGTGGGCGCCCCGCTTCAATCCTGGATTGTTTTGCGACTCCGAACCGTAAAAGGGTTAGAATCACGTATTGGGTGGTTCGAGAATTGAGCTTCCCTGTTCCTCCGTCTGTTGTGAATTATACAAAAGGTACAGACCGAAAAAGAAATCCTCAGGTTCTTTCCCCTCTGTGTAGGGAGGTACCTTAGCTATCACCCACTTTCCCGTATCGGGCTACCCCGCAGGACCATCGAGCAAATTCCATGAATGAATAGCTCGCCGAAACCATTCCGCCTGATCTCGTTTTCTCAACAAAACGGTAGAGGGGCGATAAAAAGGCTCTCAAAGGCCGTTTTGGGTAGAGGAAAAGCTTAGCTTGCCCAAATCACTCCCCCTTGACGACTTGTCGTCGTCCCGAGGTTCCCTTTCGGGACTTGCAAGGTTGTTTGTTGTTGCTCTTCCTTCAGGCCCGGTTTCCGGTCCCGTCCCGTTCCTCCAAGGCAGCATCCCCACCCACTCGCAGGAGCCAGACGATATCTCGGGTCCAAACGAAGCGGCACTCAAGAGCTTCCCGTGCCTCCCTGTCGAAGAACCCCGGTTGTTGTGAAGCACGGCGCCACCACCCTAGTCCTGCATCAACAAGGGCTAGCATTTGCGAAACACAAAACCCCGCCATAATTCGTTGCTGACGACATCCCGCAACCGCTTGCCACACCCAACACTTATCGCTGCCCGCTCTCGCGCGATCGGTATTCGCTTGGGCCTGGCACACGAGCAGCTCACTCCCTGCTCGTGCTAGGAGGAACCGAGAGCAGAAAACGAAGACGTGTTTCTTTCTAGGCACCCCAGTTTACTCCAGCACCAACAACCCCGCCCTCTCCTGCGCGCCCCGCCGCGCGAACCGCCGCCATCATGAACGACGACGAGAAGATCTTGGGCATTACCAAGAAGATTGAGCGAGAAAAGGCCTTAATCAATGCCGCCAATCTTATGCGCCAGCAGACCAACAATGAAGCCGTCCGTTCCAAACTCGACACCCAAATGCGCGAGGGGCGCCGCAATCTTGAGTTCTTCGAGGAACGGCTGCGTGAGCTGCAGATGCGGCGCCTCGGGCAGGCCACGGAGAACATGTCGCTCGGAGGCTCAACCCTCGGGTCTTTCAATACGGAGCAGGAAAGCGAGGAGGGCGGAGCGCCGGCGCCGCCGCCAAAAGATGCCTCCGGCTATCCGCAGTACGGCCAAGGCGATCTAATGCCTCCTCGGGCGCCATTCCCGGGCCAGCCTCTGCACTCAGGCATGCCCAAGGCGCGGCCGAATTTCACCAAGCTGGGTAGGATACCCCGGAGCTCGTGGGCCTCAAAACGACCTGAGGATACTTGCTAACAGGTTATTGTAGACCTGATCAAATTTGATACTCCATATCTAGGTCCCCGAATCCAGCTCATGCTCTCGCAGATCCAGTTTAAACTCAACGTCGAGGAGCAATACCTTAAAGGCATTGAGAAGATGGTGCAGCTCTATCAAATGGAAGGGGATAAGAAGAGCAAAGCCGATGCTGCCGCCCGGCGAATCGAGAGCGGCCAGAAGATTGTGCTCTTGAAGCAGGCGCTGAAGAGATACGAGGAGCTGCACATCGACATGGACGCAGATTCACCGGACGGTACGTTCAGCGGCTGACCTCCTGACTTTTTCATAACTAACCCGAAGTGCGCAGATGATAGTATCAACATGCCCAACCTGAGGAAGCCCCTCACCGGTCAGCTTTCCGTACGCATCCTCTCCGTCAAAGACGTCGACCACGCTCCCCTGAGCCGATTTTCTCGTGCCCCTGAAACGTTTGTGACGATCAAGGTGGAGGATAACGTTGTGGCAAGGACGAGAGCATCCAGGAACGACAGATGGGAAGCAGAGTTCCACAACATCTTCGTCGATAAGGCAAATGAGGTCGAGCTGACGGTCTACGATAAGCCTGGCGAGCACGCGCTGCCTATTGGCTTTCTCTGGGTGAGGATATCCGACATCGTCGAGGAGCTCCGTCGGAAGAGGATCGAGGCCGAAACAAACAGCACAGGGTGGGTTTCGGCGGACCGCCTGGGATCGGCTCCCAGGGGCGCACCTCCTCAGTTCCCGATGGGCGCCCAGAGCCCCCAGTTCGCCGGCCCCCCGACGTCTCCTGGACAACAAGGGCCGCCGTTTGCGCCGCAGCCGCCCGGAAACGCCCCTGTCGTGTCGCAGCCGATCGATGCGTGGTTTAACCTTGAACCGACGGGACAGATCCAACTGAGCCTCAACTTCGTCAAGGAAAACAAGGAGACCCGGCCCATGGACGCCGGTCTCAACCGCAAGGGCGCCGTCCGTCAGCGCAAGGAAGAGGTGCACGAGATGTACGGCCACAAGTTCGTCCAGCGCCAGTTCTACAACATTATGCGCTGTGCTCTCTGCGGAGACTTCCTCAAGTACTCGGCCGGCATGCAGTGCGAGGACTGCAAATACACATGCCACACCAAGTGCTACACGAGCGTCGTCACTAAGTGTATTAGCAAGAGCAACGCCGAAACGGACCCGGACGAGGAGAAAATCAACCACCGGATTCCCCACCGCTTCCAGCCATTCTCAAACCTCACCGCCAACTGGTGCTGCCATTGCGGTTACATGCTCCCGATTGGCAAGAAGAATTCAAGAAAATGTGTGGGTACGTACAGCCACCTTGTCGTTGATCTAGTTTCTTTATCTTGTCCCAGTTGGAGACTGACAGATCCGATTAGAATGCAATCTCACCGCGCATGCCCAATGTGTGCACCTGGTTCCGGACTTCTGCGGCATGTCCATGGCCGTAGCGAACCAAATTCTGGAGGGGATCAGGTCAACCAAGAAGACCCGGCAAGACAAGGCATCCTCCCTGAGCGAACGCACCCTCAGAGGCACGCCAAGCAGCGGCCAGTCACTTGCCTCTTATACGCCATCCTCCCACGGCTCCCAGGTCGTCTCTCCCGAGGCCACAGAGGCTGCCAAGCTCATGTACACCCAAACATCGCCCCAGCGGCCTGGCTCGGATCGGCCCTCAACTTCCTCGACCACCGCATCCGCCGCAGCCGCCGCGGCCATGTCGCCTAAACCAACCACCCCGACCCAACCGCAGGCCGGCCAGATTCCGGACTTCGGTCCCGGGCATTACGGTGCTCCCGGGGGTTACGGGCGCCCTACGCAGCAAGAGGAGAGCCAATACGGCGCCGCGCCACAGCAGCAACAGCAGCAGCCATACGGGCAGCCGCAACAACGCAAGTACAACCCGGCCGACTACGCCAACATCGGGGTACACCCCGGCCAGCCGCCTGCTCAAGCCCGCCCAACGCCACAACAGGTTGCCCAGCAACAGTATGCGCAGCAGCAGATGTACCAGCAACAGCAGCAGGCACCTGTCGCGACGCCCAAGCCACAACCCGCTCCAGTCCATGCGGAACCGCAGGTTGCTGCCGTATCGGGGATCCCGGGGCCAACCAAGAAGCCCCTTCCGTCTGCCACAGATCCCGGCACCGGCCAGCGCATCGGTCTGGACCATTTCAACTTCCTCGCCGTGCTCGGAAAAGGTAACTTTGGTAAGGTCATGCTTGCTGAGACAAAACGGTCGCGCAAGTTATACGCGATCAAGGTGCTTAAGAAGGAGTTCATCATCGAGAATGACGAGGTGGAGAGCATCAAGTCGGAGAAGCGTGTCTTCCTAGTGGCTAACCGCGAGCGCCACCCCTTCCTCGCGAACCTCCACGCGTGCTTCCAAACGGAAACAAGAGTGTACTTCGTCATGGAATACATCAGTGGTGGTGACCTGATGTTGCACATTCAACGGGGCCAATTTGGGACAAAGCGGGCTCAGTTCTACGCCGCCGAGGTATGCCTGGCGCTCAAGTACTTTCACGAGAACGGAGTCATCTACCGCGATCTGAAGCTCGACAACATCCTCCTGGCTCTAGACGGTCACATCAAGGTTGCGGATTATGGACTTTGCAAGGAGGACATGTGGTACGGCTCTACGACGAGCACCTTCTGCGGCACCCCCGAATTTATGGCGCCTGAGGTATGTGCCCAGAGTCCATGCGTTCCCGAACGGTTGATGTTCTAACAAAAACGACTAGATTCTGCTGGACAAGAAATACGGTCGCGCGGTCGACTGGTGGGCGTTTGGCGTGCTGATCTACCAGATGCTGCTGCAGCAGTCGCCGTTCCGCGGCGAGGACGAGGACGAGATCTACGACGCCATTCTGGCCGACGAGCCGCTCTACCCGATCCACATGCCGCGCGACAGCGTGTCGATTCTGCAGAAGCTGCTCACGCGCGAGCCGGACCAGCGCTTGGGCAGCGGGCCGACGGACGCGCAGGAGGTTATGTCACAGCCCTTCTTCCGCAACATCAACTGGGATGACATCTTCCACAAGCGCGTCCCGCCCCCGTTCCTGCCGCAAATCAAGAGCGCGACGGATACTAGCAACTTCGACAGCGAGTTCACGAGCGTGACGCCGGTGCTGACGCCGGTGCAGTCTGGTACGTTTTCTTTTTTTATTATTACCTGCAATGTGCTGGCCGCTAACATGGTTTGTTTGTAGTGCTTTCGCAAGCTATGCAGGAGGAGTTCCGCGGTTTCTCGTACACCGCCGATTTTGAGTAGAGGAGAGCTGAGGGCGAAAAACCGATCGCTATTTCGAGCCGTGGCTGAGGGAAGAACGCACCACTGCCTTTGGCTTTACCCAACCTCACCGTGGCCAATGATCGCCAGGGCCTAGTAGTTCGTCCTACACCTTTGGTTCTGGGACACCCTTTCTCCTCCTTCATATGTAGTTGGGCATTCTGGATCAGGGCCATCAAGTGGATCTGGCTGCGTTGGGGGTTATGAGATATCCGATGACAGGCAGGGTCGACGGGTGCAAGGATTTGGACAAGATCCGGGGTAGATTTTGGGGGCGCGGCCAGGGGGTAGGAGGATCCAAAATAAAGTCGGCGACGGCGGTTGAGTGCGTCGGAGCTGCCGTGGGTAGAGGGTTTGAGACGGAACTTCATCCAGTCGTTTTTCTTGTATTGCGAGACCCCGCCGGGAAGCGGGACAATACCAACCAGGATTCATTTTCTCTGCGAGTGCCGTCTTCTTTACCGAGAAGCATAGCTACTTAATACACCTCATTTGCAAGGTTTAATCTGCGCCTCTCACATGTCGGAGAAGGCGGGTTTAGTCTAAGCAAGTCTACCTATATGGGCTTGAATATTGTACATAGATTTAGGAGTCTATATGTACAGTCAGTTTTAATACAGCGCGCTTGTTGGCTACGAGGGACGGGGTCATGCGTTGCGCAGTATCGAGAACACAACCACCGCGGCCACGGCCGCCCCAGCTGCTGCGCTTTGCAGGGCGATGAGCGACGCATCACGCATCCGCAAGTCTATCCTCCGGTCGCTGGACAAGTCCAACACAGCCTCCCAGATCAGCTCTGGGTCCTCCCAAAAGTCCATAAGCAGCTCCTTCCACGGCCGGCTCGGGGCATTCCACTCCTCGGCTTCCACCGGTGCCGTCGCCGTAGGGGCGGTAGCAGCGGCGGCAGCGCCGCTCCCAACCTCGTTCGCAGACGATGCATCAAAGTCATGGTCCCCGCCAGCAGCAGCAGCAGCCTCATCAGCCCACGGAGGAGCAGCAGCAGCAGTATCAACAGCATCAGCAACACCCGCACCAACAGCCGCCATCCCAGCGTGTACCTCCACCTCCTCCTGCTCCCTCAACCCACCCCTCTCCAACGCAGCCCTGACCTCCGCCAACTCCCTCCTCACCTCATCCATAACCCCCCTCTCACTTTCCACAATCCCATTGACCAGCCTCCGCCGGCGCCACGGCTCCGCCACAAACTGCAGCCCCAAAAACAGCAAGATATTGACCCCCATCCAGGCCCCACGTACCCCAGGTTGACTGGCGGCGGATGCCGGTCGCTCCAGATCTGCTCCTCGTGGTAGCGCTTGAGGATCCCCGCGTGAGCTCTGTGGTCAGGCGGGACTCGTCCTTCTCAGCGACGGTGAGCTCCTCCGCGGCGGCGCCGACCTCGGTCTCGATCTCGTGGTCTAGGCGAACATCGTGGTGGGCGCTCGATTTCGGCCGGGTTCCAGGTGTCCTTGCGCGCGAGCAGCGTGGTACCTCACGCTGGGTGGAGGCGCGTTCGAGGTGAGCGATTTGTAGCTGTCCCGCGCGGTGTGCAGGCGCTGTTGGGCCGCGGCGTGCTCGGCTTCGAGTTGCGTGTTGCGCGCTTTGATCGCTTCGATTGAGGTGTAGCCGGTCAGGTCGTTGATGGTTTGGGTGGCGGTCACGGCGCGCGATTGGAGGTTGTCCATCATGGTGCTGAAGCGGGCGGAGAGCGGGTGGCGGTGGGTTTCGGTGAAGGAGGGGAGGGAGGGGTCTTGGGAGGGGGGTTCGGGTTGTGGGGGAGGAGGGCTGGTGGGGGAGTCGGGTTTGGGGGGTTGTTCTTGAGGCGGCTGTTCTGGACATGGCTCCTTTGGTGAGGGTGGTTCGGAGGTGGTGGTGGTGGTGGAAGCGGGGCTCTGTTCGGGCTTGGGCTTGGGTGATTGTTCGGATTGTATGGGCGGTGTTGGTGATGTTTCTGATGGAGAGTCTCCCGGGGTGGCCAGTTCCGGTTTCGGTTCGGTGCTGTTATCTTCAGGAGTTGGTTCTGGCGGCGGCGGCGGTGGCTGTCGTGGTGGTGGAGGGGCAGTCGAGAAGAGTCGGACTGGGCCGGGGCCGGTCCCGGGGTGAGCGGGAATACTGCAACCCAGACATATTGACGGGCGATTCGACAGTTGTTTTCGAGCCGAAATGGCTACCAATTGATTGATAAACGCCCCTCGCTGCAAAGGGCGGGCAGCGAGACGAAACGCTGTGTGGGCGGACATTGGACTTGCAACGCGCCCGGCGGGCTTGGAACAACCTCAACATGCGGATTCGGCAAGTCGTGAGGGCTCGGTGAACGGGATCAATTGGTTCATGCCAAGTCGCATTCTGCCGCCGGCATTCCTCACCGCCTAGTAACGACCCGGTGAAGATGGCTACTGTAGCCCTAACCCTGGATCTGGACATTATCTTCCACTTTACCCCATTTTACAAGGTCTGGAACGAGACAGAGCAACTGAACTTAGCTAAGTACTTCGTACCTTGCCAACACTTTTCTCTGAGCTCCGAAATATGATTCGGATCATTTCGCCCACCTGGTACCCACATGATAATCTAGGGCGCATATAGTGAGAAAATTGGGAGTAGGTGACAAGCTGGGTTCTGCTGTTCTGGACTACCGTCATCATTCACGTTCTCCATTATTGGGCACTTGTACTTTCGGAATATCCTTGGTCATTAAAAAGCCTACTGTATATTCCAAGGAAGTACCTTAAAAGGCCCGCGCATGTCTTTAAACCAACGAAGCTATGCTGTCTATGCCTGGAGGATGCTCCATGCCTTTTGTACGAGAGGTATCAGTTGTCAACAAGTCAACACTTACACCACCGCCCTATCATTCTGGTTACATCCATCTGGGGACAGACGAGATCAGCAGCCAGAGGCGACGAAAAAAGAAGAACCCAAGCAGCGAGCATGCAAATGTAGCGTGTCTTCATAACAATGCTTTATCCCTCAGACCAACCAAGCGATCCAGATAAGAAGGCACCTTACGTACTCTTACTCAACCCCAGGGAGATCAACAACGCCCAGTCGTGCAATCCGAAAACAGACATTCCGCTGCCCACCCATCATGACTTGGGTAGGTTATTCTGGTTTGGGCTGGACCCATCTGGCGCTTGACGGATCCCCGGTCCACCGTGCTCTCACCCACGGAGTTGCCTCTTTCGGCAACTGCGCCTTGATACTATACTCCAGTCACTGTGCTATGTTCTCCATAAAAATGCCTTACAGCGAGCAGGATTCAGTGTGTCAGCTGAACCTCGAGTACAACCATGACACTGTCGCCGGGCTTTGATAAATACCTACTTAGCTAACGCTCCCACTTAATGTCCAAGGGCATTCTGGACGACGGTGACACAAGATGCACAGAAACATTGGGGTATTCACCTACATGTACCTGTAGCCATTCAATGTTTGCAGCTCACGAGTCACATACACGAAACCCCCGATGGCAACCGAGATGAACCTCGCACCTCCCAAGTCCACGTTCGAGCCGCCGAGTAAACCGAGCAACCATGAGACAGCCACTCCACGGCAGCCCATCAACGTTTTCCGTCTCGCTTCACTCTGCATTATTGGTCTCATATCCAACCTCGGCGACATCACGCACCTCATCTCTACCGCACCAACGTCCCTCAAACAGAGGTATGCAATGCACCCGTGACCCCTTTTCCCCTCCCCCTTCCCAAGTAGATACCTATCCCCTCAAAGCTAACCACGTCTTGCCAACCCAACCCAGCCCCTTCGACGTCCTTACGGTCTACACCACCCTCCTCCCCACCACCATCGGCACCATACTCGCCGCCGCCGTCCTGCCCCTCCTTACCCAACCAGCCCAACAACAACACACTACCACCGCCACCACCACCACCACCACCACCAAACAGCAACACCACTCCCGCCACCCTCACCAACCCCGTTTCCAACCACCCCCCGCAAACCCTCACCCTCCTCGCCCTCCTCACCCTGACAACAACCCTCCTCCACCCACTCACCCACGCCCTCCCATACTTCACCCCTCCCACGCCATCCTCCCCACCAACCACCACCCCCACCCTCCTCCTCCTCGCCGCCTCCATAACAACCAACCTACTCCAAGGCTTCGCCAGCGCCTGCACACTGGTGCTGGCCCTGTGCCTGTCCGGGGGAGGGGCGCGGGTGCGCGCGGTTTGTGTGGCGGGGGCGGTGGGGACGGCGGTGAGGGCCGTTGGCGCTAGTGGCGGTAGTGGTGGGATTGGGGGTAGTGGAGATGGTGGTTATGAAAGGGGGTTGGCGGTTTACGGGGGGTTGTTGTGGTGGTGGTGGGTGGGGGAGGTGTTGCTGGCGGTGGTGGCGGTGGGGGGGTTGGTTGTTCCCGGGCTTGAGGTTGGTGTTTCTGTCGTAGGGGAAGGGGAAGTGGATGGGTGACGAGGTGCTGGGTGAGGGCGGGCGGGCTGGAGCGAAGATGGTGTTGCTAGATGGTGGTGGTGGCTACCCGCCGCCTGCCGGCCGCGCGACCATTTTCGGTGCTCTGTTCGCCTTTGCCTACCATGCCGCCGCGGTAGCTATCCCCGCTGGGCTTGGTTTGTTGGGCCACGATCGGGATGGCACCACCGGTCGGCCCCTACCAGTCTTCATAACAGCGGTGTTTTGGGCTGGGGTTGCCGTCGCGCGGGTTGTGGCTCTTGCGTGAAGCGGACTCATCCGGCCGAGGTAGGGTGTCCCTCGAGCGGTGTTGGGCACTGGCGGTTTCCTACTTCTGTTCTGGCTTTTGGCTGAATTCGACCAGGTATGCGGTGATAGCCTGCTGGCCTGGCCGGTGCTGTGTTTGGGGCCAGTATATTCCTGTGTTTTGAGCTTGGTGATAACGTTAGCTTTTAGAGGATGACATGTGGAGTGCTATGGGCCTCCTTGTGACGTTCGGGCAACTAGGGGTCGTGACCGCTCTGTTGACAACTCAGATAGTGGGGTACCTGGAGACCCCTATGGTTCTACCCTTGTTTATTGTCTTGTTGCTTGGGAGTATGTTGGTATGCTGGGAAATCTTGACGGGCAGCGATGATGGGGACAGTGCTTTTGACCGCCCGGATAATGTTTGATGATGCCAGAGGATCTCTTTCCGAGCTGGGATAGGAGTTGGGCAGAGCAAGGTTGTTTCGTTTCATGTGTCTATCGTCTATCGTTCTATTTTGGCTTGTAACTTCTATATCCCATGAACCCGCACGAGATGTTTCAAGCTAACTTCCTGCCCGTGGCAGCTTCCGTAACGGTGAGCTTGCCGGCGACAATGTTCTTGATGGTGTTGTGGATATCGGAGAAGTCGTCGAACGTCTGGAAGGGAACCTTCTCGTTCTCGCAGTAGGTGACGAGATCTGGTAAACGGTCAGCATGGTACCACCAGAGGAAGAAAGGGGGTAACGTACCCCGGCCCGACTTGGCAAAAAGCAGGTCGGTTTCCTTGGCCGCCGACAGGTCGGACACGCCATCACCGGCGTAGAAGAGGACCGGCCTCTCCTCGGCCGGGAGTCTGGCGTAGGGGCGAATCTCGAGGGACTTGTCGTGGCCGAACCCGCTATCAAGGGGCCCCATTAGCACCCTTGGCCATATTCACCCGGCTCTTGCTAACAAAACTCACCTGTCGTCGTGGAAGACAATCTTCCACCCGCCCTCCTCGTTGATGCTCTTCCCCTCCCTCGCCGCAACATCGTTGCTCACAATCTGCAAGGTGTCCGCATTCTCCTCACCCAGGAGGTGCCCCAGCAGAGCGCGGATGATGGGTGTCATACCGCCGCTCAGGACGACGATGGGCACATTGTTCTCGCGAGCCCACTCGAAGAAGGACTTGAAGCCCGGGTCGAGGGTGATGTTCTTGCACAGGATGTCGACACACTCGTTGAAGGGCGTCTTGACGCTGTTCAGCATCTCCTCGAACGAGTCCCGGAAGGTGCGGCGGCCGTAGAGCACGTCCTCGTTGCCCTTCTTGCGCAGGGCGGTACCGTAGCCGAGGTTGTCCGTCATGTAGTCATTGCTGTCCTGGTTGGTGATGGTGCCGTCGAAGTCGGTGAAGAAGATGAACTTGGGGTTCGTCTTGAGCGCCGGCAGCGCGATGGGCAGCGTCGATCCCATGTTGTCGATCTGTGAGGGGGCCGGGTTCGAGGGGAAGGTTTGTTTCTAGTATGGGGGTATGGGAACGAGAGTGGAAGGGTGGGGGGTGGAAAGAGAGGGTTTTGTTGACGCTGCGTGTTACACAGGACGCAGTCTTCAGGGTCTGGAGGGGGTGGAGAACTCGACACAACCTCTAACAGTGGGTTGGGTACAAGTACAACTAGATCCCTTCAGGGTCCTGCTTTTCGCCCTCTGCTTGGCATATGGAAAAGAACAACGCGGGATGGAGGAAAGAGTGAGGAATGCCATGCCCGGCCCCGCTCTCGAATCTTGGGCCGCTGTCGATCGTCTCTGACCGCACGTTTCGGCACCCGCTGTGCCGATTAGTGGGTCCCTTGCAGCGGGGTCCGGGGCGTGAAGGCGGTCCGGTGTCGGCCCCGAGAGCAACCGGGCATTGGATTATGGGCTATGTCGGGAAACGCTTTGAATAATTCTCGAGTTTCTTGTCGAGAGAATTTAAGGGTTGTGAAGAGGAGAAAGGGAGTGCCGCAAAGAGGATTGGAAATCTCCCATTGAACAAGCCATAGTGATTTACCTACCGCGGTTATGCGTGTCGGGGGGGCTCAAATACACCCCACCACCCACACGGGAAATTCTATGGCGGGGCGATGGCAGCTGAGCTTGCTCTCCTTTTCCACACCCACAAACCACAAAGTCAAGATCAACCCACGGTAGCTATGGGCAAACCGAAGCGCGCCGCTGTTTTCGCCGCAGCACAGGAATCGACCACCCCTCCTGATGAATTGACCCACACGCAGTTCGTCGCGCGTCTCATCAATGCTGAGGGCAACAGCCTTTATACGTGCGAGTTGCCAAGTGGCAAAACCGCCCTCGTCGAGCTCGAACCCAAGTTCCGCAACACCATTTTCATCAAGCGCGGCGGTTATGTGCTGGTCGACCTGGAATCCGCGGAGGAGCGGCTGAAGACCAGCAAAACGATGGGCGAGATTATCAACATCGTGCGCGACGAGAAGGCGTGGAGGAAGCAGCCGTACTGGTAGGTTCCGTGTTTCATCCACTAATCGGCACAGGACTGACGACGATGCGCAGGCCGAGCAAGTTCGCCAAGAACACCTATGGCGAAGATGAGGACGAAGACTCGAACGTCGGCAAGATGCCGCCTAGCGATTCGGAAGAGGAAGGACCTTGAGCTTGCCAGCTGACCTCAAAATCCAATGTCCGATTACCGCTTTGCTGCCTCATCCTTCAACGCAACCGTTTTCGGCTCCCAGTCCTCGCGAGCGCCCCACCAAACGAGGGCCACCGTCGCGGCAAGGACACCGACGACCACGCCGGAGCTGACGGGCGTACTGGGATACACGTTCCACGCCCATTCCTGGGCGGCCCAAAGGGCATACTGAAGAACCGGGTGGGCACCGCTGCGCCAGAGAAGGAACGGGGTCGACCAGGCAAGGTAGGCGTAGAACTGGTAGTGGAGGGAGCGCGCAAAGAGGAGGCCGACAGCATTGGCGGATAATATAGCCGTCAGAATAAACCTAGGTGTTACATCACGAGAAACTGCCCGCTGTTCCTCTGCTGTGAATGGTGACTTGGCGAACAGGATCGGGATGGCAAGCTGAGACAGCGGTTTGCGGGCCGGTTTCAACCAGCGAGTTGTGATGAACACAGCCAAGGCCACAGCATGTAGGCCCAATAAAGCCATCGAGAACCCCTTGCTGAGAAACACCTCCTCCTCCACAAACCGCCAGTTGACGGTCCACTTGAAGAAGAAATTGCCTCGACAGCTCAAACGCGCGGCCGAGATACCCCCACAGATTGTGAGCCAGGAACGGCACGGCAATGAGGACTTGCACCAGGCCCATCACCACCGCAAGCTGCAGGCTGGTCGCGAACCCTGCCCCAAGCAGCAAGACAACCCCCACGGCGGGCAAGACCAGCAGCAGCGACATCTTGACGCCCAATCCCAGCGTATACATCAGCGCACCCCCCATCCACGACCGGCGCTGCAGAAGGTAGATAGCCAGCCACAGAAACAGGGCCGCGAAGCAGTCGTTGAAGCAGCGCAGCACAAACACGCTGTGCAGCCGTTTCGAGAGTATCAGCAGCGGGAAAACGTACGGCGGAACCTAAAAACAAGAACAGCCCTCCAAGTTAGTCTCCCTCTCTCCCTGTCTCCCAAGAACAGCCAGCCCCATTGCACACCCAGCGACGCAACGCACCTTCGCCCGCCAATAGCACGCCATGACCACGCCCAGCGCCGCCAGGTACACGCCCGCAAACAGCTGCTGTGCCAGCAGGATGTCGGCGCCCTCGCCCGTGAGCCGGTACAGCCCCGCGTAGATGTAGACGTGCGCCGCCGGGTAGACCAGCGGGCCCGTGCCGCCGCGGATGCGCGTGTAGTCGCGCTCGCCCGAGACGATTTGGGATATTTGTTCCATGTAGGCGGTCCAGTCGATTTCGGTGTCTTTTTTTGGGGGGGAGGGGGGTGGTTAGCGTATGTGGGGGGTTGGGGTCATAGTGTTGGCGGGCTGGCTCACAGGGGATCTTCCAGATGATTAGGGTGCAGAGGACCGCATCGGCGAGGAAGAGGAGGGGGGGGATGAGGGTGGAGAGGATATGGCGGCCGTTGAGGATGTCGAGGGTGAAGCGGGTGATGCGGAGGTGCATTGGCGGGTGGTTGTGTTCCGCCATGGCTGTCGTCAATGTCTTGGCGACGATGTTGGTGATGGTGTTGAGGACGCGTTGGCCATTGGACTGGAGCTTGGAGCTTTGGATGACATGGGAGCTTGGTTGACAGCTCTTGGCGGGTGTCGGCAAGTGCCATACTTACCCAGTCCATGTTCACTGGACAGAATTGAAGACATGCCTCCCTCCTTCCTCCAACAACACTTAGTTACCAAACAACAATTAGATAAATTGGTTGGATTTGATCCTATTACTGTCACGGAGTTATTACAGTCCCGTCACCACTACAATTTTGACTCGCGCTTCGCCTTCCCCAGAACCTCATCCACCAGCTCCACCACCCTCTCAGCACACCCAAAACTCCCCTGGTATCCCCAGCCAGCATGCCCATAATTATGCACAACCCACGTCCCATCAATCAGTTCTTTCTCAATCCTTACCCCGCCCTTTCTCAACGGTCGTAGGCCGACACCATGCCGAATAATATCCAACCCCTCCACCCCCTTACCGCCCGTCAACTCCGGGTGCATCTCCACCGCCCGCCTCATAATCCTCATTGCCATGTTCGGATCCGGGTTAGCTTCCCAGTTCCCCCTCATATACGTGCCCCCCAGCACCGTCCCGCCCCCCAGCGCCCGCTGCATCACATACACAACCTCATCATCCCCATCCGCACATCCGCTCGTCGTAGGCATAATCCCAGCCGCCTCGTTCCTCACCAACACAATCTGCCCGCGCGCGGGAATCACCGTAGCATCCATCACCCCACCCAACCGGCACGCCAACAACCCCGACGCATTAACCACCAGATCAGCCCTCTCCCCGGTATGGCTCAGCGCCGCCGCCTCAGAGATATGCTTGAGCACGGCGCGACGGAAGCGCACGCCGAGCCGCGCGCACTGGCCCACCAGCCAGGGCAGGTAGATGGCCGTGTTGATGCACACCGACGTGAACTCGCACCCGGAGTGCATGCCTTCGGGCAGCTCCGCCGCCGGCAGCTCGCGGAAGTCGTCCATCAGCTCTTGGTACCAAGGTGAGAACTGGTAGAGGCCGTCGACCATGGCACTTTTGAGGCCTTCGGGCGTCACGTCGGCTTGGCGCCGGAGGACGCGCGCGGCTGAGGGAGGGGTGGGGGTTAGTGGCTTCTTGTTTGTGTGTGCCGGCTTGGAAGTTGATGCAGTGAGTTTGGAGGGAGAGGGAAGGGAGCGGTTAACATACTCTGCACGTGGAGCCCGGCTTCCGGGACCTCGGCGGCCAGGCGTCGTAGTTCGGGCCATGTGCGCCGTTCCCAGCGGCTGTCCTTGTCAAGGCTCATTCTGGAGGGGGTTTGCGTGTTAATTCCATGTCATCTGGTGCGAACGACCGACAACAGGTAGGATAACTCACGGCAGCACGTTGGCGCCGGCCCACGGCGACGTGTACTCGATGTCATAATCGCCGGGCATGTGTTTTGCCACCACCGTCACGACATTGCCTTTCTGCCTCGCCAGCAGTAGCGCACAGGTCAGACCGCTCACGCCGGCGCTGCTAGAGGTTAGCCGATACTCCTCCATTTACCGCTCCGGTGCCGGACTTACCCGAGGACGACAATGTTTGGCATGTTGGCGTGGTGATGATGGTTCGCCCAGATGCGACTGAGAAATGAGAAAATCTTAAAACCAGGACTCTGGGGGCTTGAAGATGCTGTAGGTGTCGTAGGTGTCAGAGATACCACCGCTAGATATTGAGCATGAGTTGGCCGGGCAAGGCCGAAGGGAACGGAGTCCAACTCCGAACTTCCTCAACCGAATACCGGAGGTAGCCGCTCGCGACCAGGGGCCGAACACCCCGCACGCCGCCCAGAGGTCTAGACCGCATCCCGGGAGGGCATGGAGTTCGTGACGTGTAAGGGACAGATGCTGTCACCTCTTATCTCGACCACCACAAATATCATTCTGACAGCCCCTTGTGAGGCCCTATCTATTCCGTTGCCCAAAGGGGCATGCCGAACAACCTGCATCGACCCTAACCCTATCTTCCCCTGATTCAGGGGGCAAGTGTTGATATATTCAGCCAGACAGAGTCTCACGTATCGTCGTCTAGTGTGCCAATGGTACTTCTTCACGTCCTAACGAGAAGGCCAAAACTACCCGTGATCATAAACTTATGCATGGTAGCCGACTAGCCATAACGGACAACCCATGGTGCCCGACTTGAAGCAAACCCTGGTTGAACATGGGAGGTGATGCACAAAGTCACAGAAATATAGATTCAACTGGTATAAATTGCTACTCGACAGGGAACCGTGGTTCACCGCCTGGCAGTACGCAGTACTTATAAGCAGTACTCTATACGCTGTACGCGGTACGCAGCCGCAGATATCGTGAACAGTACCGCGAGACACAAACACTCCGCACCATTACGGCCCGTCGCAAGTCAGTTCGAAAGGGGGACCCATCAAGTGGCAAGGTGTCCATTGATCATCCGTACCTTGTGACATCTGGAAACTAGCTTCCCGCATCTCTTGCCCTCTTGAGCCATCACCTGTCCAGCAGACGGGCTATAGTCTCCACCGGGTTGAGGAGACAAGATAAGATCCGTAAACATGGTGGAACCAGTGACAAAGAGCCACATCCCAGGACCAAAAAACCATCCTACCATCCATCACATATCATTCCATCTGCCCATCCCCCCTTCAACCCCTCACCCAACCACCCTCAAAACCCAACCCCCACCGACACCAACCTCTCCCTCCCCCTGCGCCCTCTGTACCGCCACCAAAAACGGATGACACACCCCCCCCGGCGGAACCCACCTCGCCGGATCACGGTACACGGGCTACAGGGCACTGCGGGTCGCGCTCATTGACAAGGACACGAGCGGGGGCCCGGCACGGCGCGTCGGGGGTCAGTGGGTGCGCGGCCAGTGGGTGGGCGGCGTTGTTGGCCCGGCGGGAGAGCCTCGTGGTTGTGGAAGCGGTGCGGGTAGCCCTGTCATTGCCATCCATGGGGGCAGGGTGGCGATGGGGGGGTGTTGTAGCACCGCGGGTGGAATTACCGGGATGGACCTCGTTGTCGGAACCGAAGGGAAGGGGAGTCCGAAAGGTCTAGGGGGGGCGAGGTAGGAAGCTGGTGAGGGATCGGAGCGCCGTTCACGAACCCGTCGTGGTGAATCTCATCAGTGGGTTCGAAGGTCAAGGGAGCCTGGGCGGTCCACGGCGAGTCAGGAGGTGACGAGGAGGGTGACCGAGAGGAGGAGGGTATGCTCGGAGACCGAGTGTCCGACACCCGTGAGACAAGGTTGGTGGCCGAAAGCTCGGCAGAACCAGGTAGGTCCATGGCTCGGAGCACAATGGTGACGGGAACAATGTGAGGCTTTAGGCAGCAGAGAAAAAGGTCAGTTGAGTTATGTTTCAGCCATTATGGTGGCTGGGGCTCAAGTGAAGCAAAGACTGATGTCGAAGAAAAGGAATCACTGGGGAATCAAGGACAAGAACGCGTTATATATCCTCTCAAAGTGGCTCTTAGAGGCGCCACATTCGAACTGCATCATGGCATCAACAGTGTTTACCAGCTGATCTCTTCAAAAAGCTGATGACGGCGAGGCCAGATTTGCGTAACAACTCCGGCACAAGGCTGCTTAACCCGAACAAAGAAAACTGCCATTCCACAAATAGGATACCTAATTACAGGTCGTCGACCAACAACATACGCTGCGTCACGCACGCCGAAGCCTTGCACAAAAGGGGTCCATATCGGGCCGCTTGAAGTCTTGTGGCACCCTCGGTGCCTATTGCGGGAAGCAACCTACAGGAGGCCGCCTCACTCGGAACCGTGCTGCCCAGGTTGTACCTGTTCACCGCGGTTGAGGCCAAGCCCAACGCGCTTCTCTCTCCTCATCACCATCTCGGTCATGACCTTGCTGACACTAACCGACCCAGGCCAGAACGTCAAGCCGTATCAGATGCACTGTGAACTGCATCCATCTCCATAAGCCACGGCCTTCAGGCAGACATTGGAAACTTGTCTTGTTCCTGGTTTAGACCGACTCGTAAAAGCTCTCATCTAGGATTCGGAAACGACGAGTATTAAAGGGGAGGCAGAGAAGTGCAAAACCGGACGATTGTGAGAATGGCCTAAGATCAAACATCTATTTGCTAATACCATCTAAAATATCATTACTTTCCCAATTTACACTAGTCCCCTCCAATGACATGTCCTGCCGCAGGTTCGTCTCCTCCGTCATGCATTAACTGCCCATCTCATGAAGCATTTGAAGCCTCGTCCTATATTGATAAATGGTTTATAACCTTGGAACTTGACAGCCCCCCTTCGCGTTCAATGTTTTGGTCGTGCTGTATATCCAAACGGCCTATGCCAACACGGAAATACGAGTCATTCCAGAAGACAGTCCGCCTCCACGCACACATCACTGGATTCACCCCCGCCGCACCCGATAGTTCGCCTTTGAAAAGGGGCTGTACCTCAGATACCCTCCTCCACCGGCCGCGTTGGGTCATGGTAGATGACCTCGGGGGACGAATGATCATAGCGATTCTTGGCCGTCTGGCATGACCGGGTACTCGATAAGGGGTGGGCGGTTACTCTCAAACGGGAGGCGTTCGCCGTTGCCAAAGTCGTGCGGGTAGCCTGGCCCGTCTCGGATGTTGGCTGGGATGTTGCGCGCCTGGTCCCGGACCGCCGCGGCGCTCACACGGCGAAGGGGGTGTGTGGGCGAGAGATTGGGGAGCGAGTACTAGGGATTGGTGAGCTGAATAACCCCGCGGCGGGTGGGAGGATAAACCAGGAGTCACAAGGAACAGGAGAGCTGACGTGAGAAGTTTCGGATGGCGTTGGGCTTGTATGGTGTGAATCCGCTCCAACTTCAACCGTGCCTTCCGGTGGACTATTGGTGTCCCCGGAGGCCGAGTCCCTCCTGAGGGGCTCATTGTACCACGCGGGATCGGATGTTGGGAAGTGGTTGTCAAAACCATGCTCAGCTGGAAGCTGGTATGTTGATAAATTGGAATCTGGTACATGCCGAGATTCCCAGATGAAAAGGTCAGTGCTGCCGGGTTGGTTGTGCTGGTATACGTCGCAATGGTGCTGATATGGGTCGTAGTCATAGAATTGCACCGACGATTCATATCCCAGAGACTCGTGGCGGGTGTCGTTGGGAATATCGTAGAAGGTAGTGCCGCGGGTATATCGACACCACTGGTTCGTGTTATAATCATCCTGTCCGGAGGACAATATTACGGTCAAACTTTTGGAAATTAATAGTTAACTATGGGAAATTGATAGTTAAGGAAATTCGTTTCTTATCGCAGTGGAGCGATTGGTTGTTGGGCACAGATCAAGCTCGAGGCTTCTTAATCACATGGCTCTGTGAACAATGAACGACTTGCATGTAATCTCGTGCCCAACTCGAAAGCGCTGTATTCCGTATTCCATATTCCCAACCGATTCGACATCGCGACATCATCGATACCACCAATCCCACAGTTACTACCTCCTGTTCTCAACAAGGCGCTTTACTCTACAGGCGACGACCTGAAGGACATCGAGATTGTCGGGCGTAATGCGTACCTCTCATTCAAGAAGTCGGTGTCTCTGACCACAATACAGCGGCAGCTGGGTAAAGACCAGGCCCCGTTTCGGCGGACCTTGAAAGAACTGCGAAAGGCTGATGTGTCGGTACCCTCCTGGGAGCTGCTTGCTTCGAGGTGTTCTGTCAAGCTCTCTCCCGAGGAGGTTGACAGCTTTGCTGATGCGCTTCGCATCTATCCCACCAAGGCCCAGGTCGTCGAGTACAACCACCAACACATGCTTGGCCTGGACAGCACCACCATTCAGGTCGAGGCAAAGCAGGAGGGTGCTGGTGCGGAGAAGGTTGAATCCTCAAATGCCGGCAACTTGGCCAAGCGCTTGCCCTTGTGTGTTGGCTGCAGGGTGATGCTGACGCGGAATTTGTGGGCCGACGTCGGGCTCGTCAACGGCGCACAGGGCAGAGTCTACGACATATCCTGGAAAGAAGGTGCCGACGTGCTGCGAGACCCGCCCGAGGTCATCATGGTGGCCTTCGATGACTACGACGGTCCGGCCTTCACGATGCCGAACGGGGAGCCGCTCCGTAGTGGAGAGAAGCTGGTTGTTCCCATCCTCCGAGTGCGGCAGGAATTCATGATCGGCGCCAACTCATGTTCAAGAGAGCAGTTCCCGCTGCTGGTCAGCTATGCGATCACCGTTCACAAGTCACAGGGCATCACCCTGGACAAAGTCGTCTGCGATATCTCTGCGCCAGAGTTTGCTTCTGGCCTCTCCTACGTGGTCGTCTCGCGGGTGAAGACACTCGGCGGGCTGATGTTTGAGCGGCCCTTCGACCGCAGCAGGATCTACCGCGAGACACCATCACGGGCTATGGGGTTGAAGTTGTCCGATCACGCTACCAGGCAACTGCAGGCGTTAGATGTTGTGGCGGGGGAGGCTCCCTCAGAGGAGTCTAATTGATTTGTAAGTAGCGAGAACGTGAGTGTAGATACGTAACGTGAGTGGCAGAATAGAAACGATTCGTAGATGGCTTAAGTAGATGGAGTTGTTGGCCGACGGACAAATATTGGCGCTTCGTCTCCCCCGTATTCAACCCTAACCCGGATTGTCCTCCGGAGAGAGACAGGAAAATTGCCAGGAGCGGGAGAGAGGAAGGAAGCGCCCCGTAGCGTAGCGAAGGGCCGCGCGACTGACGAACGAAGCGACGCCAGCAATTTGCCTGGAGGAACGTGCGAGGAACGAGTACTTCCGAAAGGTTCCTTTTTTCCGACACAAAAACCATGACCAGAAAGATGGTATGCTCCAAGCTCGGACCACTTCCGCCCCATAAAACGCCCCATCAAAACGCCCCATCAAAAAAAGCCGTGCCATTTTTCCTGTTTACTGTGAAGTTTTACTGTCATTATTCTAACGATTGTGGAAGGAGAGTCATCTTGTTTTGCCCGGAGGAACTTGCCTCTGACGATGAGCGTCTCGAAGTTGGGCTCGGCAGTGATGGTGCACGGACGGTCTGTTGGGGTCTGTCGGCTGTGGGGCTGGCCCCGCTTTATAAGAGCCAATGAGATGGCGCAGCCCCAGGCAGCTTCAGCGACGACCACGAAAAGATGCAGATTGCAGGGCAACACGGCAACAAGTTGAGAAGGAAAATATTAATTGAAGCCGATTATTCCGCTGGAAAAGAGCTCCAAAACAGAGCAACGGTGGAGAGCTGTGCTACGATCTGGGCTCGGAAACCCCAGGGTCTCGCCAGAGCGCCGCGTCCTCTACGTCATCGGTTTCAGTCCCCTGGCCAGATTCAGGCATGGCAGCCCATTCCTGAAACCACGGCTCAGACCTCAGGTCTGAGACCTGTGGTCTTGCTCGAACCGCCGTCTGGTCTCCTCGCCCCGTCGTTCCAGCTTGAGGATGGCCTCCCTCATGTCTTTGTCAAGCACATTCTTGGGCTCGATGAAGTCACTGCGCGCCGGTTTTCGAAACAGATGCAGCCCGTCCCAGCTCTGCGCCCTCGACAGCTGCACGTACAGGCTCATGAAGCTGGGTCGAGTCGCCGTGCCGCCCGAGTGGACGCCTTTGAGATTGACGAGGACGTCCGAGAACTGCTTGCCTTGGCTCTTCTGATCTGTCATAGCGAAGGCCGGTGTGCAGAGAGTCCAGTTCTGTGGGTAACCCACCGAAAGCCCGGCTTGCCCCTTCCTTGGCCCGCATTTGGGTCGGGATAGCGACCGTATTGCTCTTGATCAAAATGGTGCCGTTGGGGAGCCCGGGGATGGCGAGGTCCGCACCATCGTCTGACTGAAGGAGGACGGCCACCGGCGGTCCAAGTTGAAGAGTCACATCGCTGGCGAGGGCGATGGTGCCGGCGGCGGGATCGGGGAAGATGTCGACGGCCTTGAAAGGTGCCCCGTTGACCACCTTCAGCCCAATAAACTGGTTCTGAGTCACCATGACCGGCATCCCCTGCGCGTAGAAGAACAGGCCCGGGGTTGGCAGCTGCGAGTCGTCTCCGCGGCGGAGCACGTCGCCCAGCTCTTCGACGCGCAGCCGCTTCCCCGATTCGGTGTCATGCTTCGCTACAAAGATGGAGATGTGTTTGCCGCAGGCACGGGCCCACTGGACGACGGCTGCCATGTTCAAGTCCCACCGGTCTTGGTTCAGGGGCGTGATGGCTCTCAGACCGTCTACGAAGGACGCCTTGCACGACGGTGTATAAAGGCGTTGACTGAGCCGCTGGAAGTCCAGCTCGGTCTGCTCGCCGTTGCGCAGGCGCCCGAGGAAGCCCCGAAGCCTTGGGCAACCAGCCGCGCGGACCTGCTCCTGGAGGATGACAACGGTTGTGAACTGGAGGAACAGCCTGTGCGCTGCGAGATGCTTCGGCAAGCTTTCCGGTCTCTGTCCGCCACGGTCCCTGGGCGCCGGCAAGAGGAGACTGGTCTGCAGGACGGGGTCGAACTGGAAGAAGTCCCCGAAGAACAGGACTATTGGGATCCCGCCAAACGGGCGATAACCCTCTCCCGAGCCAATCAGAAACAAGAGGTCTACAGCGGAAAAAAAAGAGGGCGCGACTGGACGATTAGACGCTAGTCTGACTGGAGAAACCACCTTTCCTTACTTTCCCAGCATTCGTCAATAACCATCATGAAATGGGAAAAAAGACAATTACATCGTTGACTCCGCTATGGGGCCTACCTGCAGCCGGCAAGTTCCTCCAGGCTCCTTTGGCGTGCCCGCGCGCGGCGGGGCACGGTCACTCCTGTTAACTCTCCACCCGCGAGTTATAGACGAGCATCGTGTGACATTGTTTATAGCGTTCAAGGGCCGCTGGTCTAGTGGTATGATTCTCGCTTAGGGACAACCCTACAGCTACTGTTTGCGAGAGGTCCCGGGTTCAATCCCCGGGTGGCCCCCATATTTTTGGCTTTCCTCCTGAGACTTTCCTCACATGTGGGACGTTCCGTTTTGCGGGGGCGACGGGGGTTTCCTTGTGAATGAGATAGGCAATGTAGATGAATTGTAGTTAGGTATGTATCTATATCTATTATCATCCCATTGTCTCTTAGTGGGTGGGCTCCTCTTTGAAAAGAATGCGAGTACCTAATCACTTTCGCCTCGGGGCAACAGCGTGCCCGTTTTTCCAGAATAGTGGATCTCACATTGTAATTTAGATGCTCCCCTTGTTCCCATACCTTGCTCAAGTTACAATACAAAAGTATTTCGAAGGCACATACCCAATAACATTCCTCTGCCCATCTCTGCTCCATTCCCGGTGTTTCGGCCACCGCGGTCCCTCATTGACTCAGCTCCGCAAGGGATTCTGCCAATCTTTTGGGATCCGCGCCAGCAAACTCGGACATCTTCTGTCCGTCCCTGAAGAAGGTAAAGGTGGGCATGGCTCGGATGCCGAGTTCCTGGGCCAGATCGCTGACGCCGTCGACATCGAATTTGGCGAAGTACACTCTGTCTTTGAACCTTTCTTCGTTGGACAGCCTACGTGTCGTGGGGTCCTAGTGTTAGCCTACGATAGCTCGAGGACGGAGCCGTGGAGGGGAATATACTTCTCAAATAAGGGCGAGATAAACTTGCAAGGCCCACACCAGACAGCCGATGCGTCAATGGCGACCATAGGGTTCTGGGAAATGATATCCCTGAACTCGACGACCCTGAGTAAAGTGAGGTGTCAGTAATTCCGAGTACAAGTGCCTACCTAAGTATCACGAAGCGAAGTGAAGGCCACAGGACAGGCGTGTCGCGGAGGGGCGGGTTGCAACTTACGAGTGGATCTCGTGGACGGTCATCTTGGGAGAGGTGGTGGTGAATTTCCTCGTGGAGATTGGTATCCGTATGGAACTTATTGTGGGAGTTCCTCGAAGGGTTCGGGAGGCCGGGCGTAGCAATCTGGAGTTCATTGGGAAGAAGCGGGGGGGTTAAGGGCAGCGCAAGGCGAGTGTTTTATCAGAATCTTTCGGCGGCCGTGACAAGCGCGCAATCGGTGGATGTGGATGTGGATGATGTAATTCGCGCCCTCTGGGGATTTGTCAGGACCGGCATGCCGATTGGCAACTGCCCCACCTTCAGCCGATTTCTTTTTTTTTGGGGGGGGAGGAATTCAAGACAGCAGTTCAGACGCCACGAGCCCATGACTGGGTAGATGAGCGTCACATCTGCAGGTGATTCCTCATCAGAACCGGGAAACACAGATTGGACCCTTACCATTACTAAGTCAAATGAGGTTAAGTTTGCAGCACCATCTGGACATGTGTTGTGACGGGGTTCGGCATTGGCTCCGTCAGAACTTTCAGCTCCCTCTGTCGGGAAGGGTTATGCTGCCCAGAATTGGCGGGGAAGGCTCCAAAGGTACCTTGATACCATTGCTGATCCAAGGTTTCCATCTTCAAGTCGATGATGCGATTCGTAATCGTGTAATCGTTAGTGGAAAGCGCAAGAAGCTGTGATCAATGAGCAAACTATGAGAAGCCGAGTTGCATTTTGCAAGCATTTTAATTAGGTACTTGTTGAAGCACCTACACAGTAAGCTGCCTCACTCTCTGCCACGCCTGGAGACCCTGTTTTTCGATCTCAGATCTCCCCGCCTTCCCGCCCACTGCCGATCCCTACCCCTTGTCCCGTCCAAACTTCCCCATGTATGTCCATACCGCCCCTCAAGTAAAGACCACATTCTCACACGGCCCGCCCTCCGCACACTTCTCATACAAGCTCAACCACGCATCCCCCCCACAATACTGCGTCGAGTCGCCCGTGCAGACATACTTACAATTCTCCAAGCTCGCCGCCGTGGTCGCCGGCACGCGCGTGGCCGCGACCTCGTCGCCGCACCAGCACTCCTGGCGCCACTCGGTGCCGGCGTACCGGAACCCGCGGGCCGTGCAGAAGGCCGCGCACCGCTCGTTGGTCATGGCGTCGGTCGACGCCTCGCTGGCCCCCGACAGCGTGCGGAACGGCCCGTCCGTCGTCCACCGCTCCTCGGGCGCGCAGCCCAGGAAGCGGAAGCCAGAGGCGGTCAGGTCGGTGAAGGGCGCCGTGGGCGTGCCGGTCGGGCCGGCGGCGCTGGTGGTGGAGGTGGCTGGGATGGTGACGGTGCTGAGGGTGGTGCTGCTGCTGGTGGGTGGGGGGAGGTCAGTGGTGGGGATGACGACGAGGGTGACTTTGATGCATTCGCGGTTGACGTCGATCACTGGTTTGGGTGCGGTGTTAATTAGTGAATCGGCTTCGAAGGTGGGGTTGCACCTTGAACAGGGGGTGACTGGACATACGGGTGTTGCCCGGTGGTGAGTACCGGAATTCGTGGCTTCCATCGAAGGCGTGGCGGACGCAAACGTGACCGCCTGTGGGATGGTTCTGCCAGGTCACAAAGCGCAGCTCGATCTGGAGCTCGTCGGTGTCCGGGTTGCAGGCGTACGTAGGCTCGAAGATGGCACGGTCGTCGCCGCGGCCGGTCGAGAACAGCTTGGTGGTGTGGTCAATCTCGGAGAATTGGGGTTGTCACTGTGTTAGTTGCGAGCCGTTTGGTGGTATACCGGCGCCAAGGCAGAAACGTACCTCGCCGCCGATCACAAGACGGACGCCGTTCGGCACATGGTTGATGACACCGTCCACGAGAGTCAAATCGTAGGTGGGGACGCCGACCGGGCCAATGAAGAGATGGTGATCACCGCCGCCTGCTTGGAGCAGGTTCAGGTATTGGTTGTGCACCTCAGGCCGGCTGGCATTCTGGACCTGCGCACGGAAAGGATAGGCAATGTTGTTGTCGAGGGGTTCTGTCGGGATCGTGCATGCCGAGCTCAGGGCGGCCCCGGCGAACAGGGCCGAGATGGTTCTCCGGTTGATCATTGCTACTGTTGACGAGATTCACGGCAATCCAAAAAGTGAAGTCGTGCAGGCGAAACAACAAACAGGCCGCCACGCAGGAGTTATTTAAACGATCCTCTGCTGGCCCTGGACCCAACAGTGCGCTTGAAGAGCCGCAGGAAGCCCCGAGACACAGACGCAGCCCTCCCAATATTTATTTTCGCCTGCAGCTGCCCAGGCAATAACAAAGCCGAGCTGAAGGACAAGCCGACGCACCGCGATCCTGAGTGGCCATCACTGCAACCCCAGGGCCTTGGCTCCCACTTGCCTAACGGGTTCCGGCGATGCGGTCAGCCCCCGGCGCGTCGAAATCGCGTCGTGGCGCCGCAGGGTCCTTCTGTGCCACCCAGCAAGGTTCGCCAAGGCACCAGGCACAGGGCCTCGCCCGGGTCGGCCCCTCTACCCTTCGATAGTCACACCAGGGTCGTGGTGCTGGGCCGCAGCTTTTCCGTCAGCCGCACTTGGCTTCGTATCCAGCGGGCGTGGTCCGGATTCGCCGTGGCCCATGGGATGCGGAGGATACAGACCAGGCAGCGGGGATCGATTGTGCGAAGAAATTACACAGTAATAGCGTCGCACTGCTGTCCCTGAGGTGCCTGATGCTTGGATGGTGCCCACAATGCTACGTTACCAACATCGCCTGCATTGCATTTTAAACCCTGCCGCGTGACAGCAACCAACAAGCTGTTGGTGGTTGTTGATGGTTGTTGGGGCCCCTGACAGAACATCACCAGCAATCACAAGGAAAGAATTCCCAGCCAAATGGGGTTATGTGAGCCCTTTACCAACTCCCGATTATCCTTTGTAGCAGTGGGATTCGCAGTAGTTGTTTACCTAGTGTATGTCGGGGACCGACGAGTTTAGCGGCTTGATCGAAAGGGGTGAGCTGAGTGACTGATTCAATTTGTCGTAGTTAGTCTCATCAGAAGATCATAGCTAATAAAAGCTGAGGGTTAAATCGTAACGGCGAGGTTGGAAATCTGAATAATAGAAGCGGGGCGCTTGGCTGGATGTTAGTGGTACCCGTGAAAGACGACTCATTGACATTCTCTCATGTCCGCATTCCGAATTTGATATAAGCTTGCCCGCCCAATATCAACTTCAACGTCGCGCTGATGACGCTAGTTACGGTCGGTGGCAGAGATACCAACAAGCTGGCACGGGCTGGTTAACCTATGACAAAGGATAATTGAGCCCAGCCAATTTTGAAAGTTACGCGGACATGAGATATCTCACTCGACTCACAATCACCACCAGCCCGCGACAACACTGTCAGCCCAACCATATGCAAAGCAGAACCCCAAATTGGACCCAAGGAGCACCCCAAGCTCAACAATGGGACAGTCCGAGAAGTAGCCTCGGCCGAAAATATGACAACCTTTCAACACCATCACGCCCATCCTCATCCCCTCCCAGAGACGTGCCTACTCCGCCCTCCACGCCTCAAACTCCTCCTCCAAATGCTTCTTCAGCTCAGCAAACCGCGCCCCAAAGTTCTTCCCACACCGCCAGCACACCAAATCCCTCTTCAAATTCCCATTCTGAAACCCCGTCTCCCGCCTCACATCATCCTCCGCCAGCGGATAATCCGCCAACGGCACAAAAAACGGCGTCACAAAACTGTTATAATGTTTTTTATGGCGCGCCCTCTCCGAGTGCATATCCCGCGAGATGATGTGCACATGCAAATGCGCCATGGACGGGTGCGCGTGGATGCCAACCCGGATCTCGGCCGCGTAGTCGCGGCCCGCGGGCAGCTCGTCAAAGGGCACGCCACCCTTACCCATGGCCTCGTCCCGCGTGCGGTTGCTGGCCGAGAAGGGGCCCAGCTTTCGGGCGAGTTCGGCCGCGGCGAGCTGGGCGCCTACGGCGGCTTCTTCGCGCATCATGGTTAGGAAGGCTGGGTCGGCGAAGGCGCTGTGGGGGTGCAGGAGGTAGTGCGCTGGGGAGCGGGGGAGGAGGAGCAGGTGGATGGTGGCTTTGGGGAAGGCGTCTTTGATGAGGACCGTGTTGGCGGTCACGCGCAGGACTTTGTCCGGGAATCGTTCGGGGTGTTCGATGTATTCGATGAGGGCGCCGCGCCAGACGCCGCGGACGATTTGCGATGCTTTGGAGGCCATGGACTGGGGGGCTTGGGAGATGGGAGCTTCGGGTTTTGGCGCCATTAGTTCTGTAAAGGCGTTGCGCTTGGCAGGCGCGTTTGCCGGAGATGTCACCGCTTGGGTTGTTTTCTTCTCTGCTTCAGTCGCAGTTGGAGGACGTGAACCTGGAGAGGCCGACTCTGGTCGAGGGATCTTGGCCTCGTCATCAGCTGGCTCTGTCATGGCGGAAAATGTTGCAGGTATTCAAATTCCCGACTTCAATTGAATCGTTAAAGAGGCCAGCCCATTGATCGCTGTGAAGCGCAGAGGTTGGTGACAAAATCGGCAAACGAACGAAACACAGGTTGACTAGGTAGGTATTTGGTGCCATCGCTCATCGACAATGGATGAGTCGAACGGCGAACACATTCGTCACCCGTCAACAACTGGCAAACATTTGGTGGGACTGATTGGGCTGCCGTACCCCAACTTGAAGGAAAAGTTTACATTGAGAAGGAATTTGAAGACCCCGAAAGTAGCCATAAATAGGTAGATATATAATGTTCTAACCTTGTCTCTAAAAGAGAGAAAGTACGGAGTCAACTTATAGCAAAGAAGGAGCTTAAATGTAGAACCCCTGACTAGGTGCCTAGGTACTTACCTCTGACCTCCCGCCCGGGCCGCCCCTCTCGCCTGGTAGTATTTTTAGTATACCCAGGTACCTCTATTAGAACTATAAGAGTATCTGTAGTATCAGTAGTAGGGTTCATCCATCTGCTGCGCGGACAAACTAGATAGACTACCTCCCAAAAACAAGCGCAAGTCAGCGGTGTTGGTCCCGGCATGGTCCTTCGAGACTGGAAGCCATGATCAATGAGCCGCCTCTTTCTTCAGAGTGGACTTAGACTTTTTGGGACGAGTTACATGGCAGCTAGGGTGTGAGGAGCTTTGATAACGTGATAACTTTGGTCGGCGAGGTGACGGAGGCCTGAGAAAATTCATTCCTTCGTCGAGTATCTTCCCTCCAACTTCCAACGACTAGTTCCTCCTCACATAATTACCTACAATACCGCCAAGTCTACAACGAGGGCATGCTCATCCTTCGCCTAGAACATCAGCAAGGTTGAAGTCAACAACACCTTGGGCATACTCCACCCCTCGGACTTGTTCGGGAAAGACATCCATGCGAGCATCAACCGTGTGCTTGATCCAATCCAACAGAACTCGTCCCGACCGCCTCGCAACATATTTCAATCTTGGTCTCTGAGATCTTATTGATCCATCCCCCACCCTACCAAAGGTCAGCATCAGAGGATGTAGTCATAGGTCAATTATAAAACGTACGTTGGCTCTCGCCCAGAGTGCAATTCGATCGCCTCTTTGCAGCGACTCAAGAAACCCGGCACCATCGCCCATAGCACGCGGATTCATGACACTGGTCGGTACGCCAGTTACGCAACGGACCATATAATAGGTATAGTCGGCACGAGCAGTGATGTTATTGTGTACCCTCCAAGACAACCTATTTCCGTGCTTGACGAACTCTCAGCCGTGACTTTTGAGGGCTTCCCGGAAGCTGCTTACTCTCTTCTCGACTGAGGTGATATTTTCGAGCGATCGCCCACAAGTGGCATCCCAGCAATGGGTCGTAAAATGCTTGCCGCATACCAAGTATGGCTGTTGTGATAGGTGCCTTCGCCTCCCAGACTGGCACAGCCCTGGTCGGCGCCTCTCGTTTGGAAGCTGACCCACCGCACTCGGATCTTCTGGTTCCTATGCGGTGTCGCTGCCAGAAGCGGTGGTGACGTGAGGTAGAGCCCTGCAACCTCATCTCTTCCAACGGCGTACTCCATCTTGTTCTTCCGGTGGGCAGTGATGATGATACGGCCTTTATCCGGCTCCAGTGATTCCCCCAAGCGTGGCTGGCTGGTCCATGATTCAGTAAGTGTCACGGAATGACCCCGAGGCAGCCAGGGCGGCCACAGCCGACAGCGCAGGACGCCGGCAGCCAATCGCTTGAGGACCAATAAGAACTGGATTATCACTAGTTGTCAGTGATAATGGGCGATTATCACCAACAGAGTGGTGATACTAGATAGTATATAGTCACTCGTACTGGAGAGCTCTGGGAGTTCTCCAGTTAGCAATCACAACTACAGTTCGCTACAAGCTCGAAAGCCTACTGTTGAGACAAGTCTTTGTTGTGCACCCTTTGGCTGCACCGAACCTAAGCACCCTTGAGAGATTACCTTCAACCGAAGCTGAACCCTAACAGGACAGGGTCCTGAAGTAGGTTCGTCACAGTAAGAATAGGAGAGCATTTTAAAATACCTATGGAGTGGAAATCGTGGGTAGACCAGTGACTGTAATGAGCTTAGGGTGATGAGAAAAAAACGAAGATGCAAAATCGTGTGGTAAGAAAGAAGACGTAGGCGACCTAACTTCTGGAGGGACGACCATTGAAGATGACACCGACCACGTCAGCGAGCTGCTTCGCGGTAGGCGTGGAAACTGTTCAGGGGCGAACCTGCAGATTGGGTGGACAGCAAGCCAATAAGCATTATTCGACTCAAAAAACAACTACCACGAGATTAGCCAGACGTCTGCATGCACCTTGCAGGCAGAAGAAGCCCCTCGCATCAGCTTGGGCCGCAATACTTGAGCGCTGAACTTCGTGTCTTTATTGGTCACTGTGGCTCCTTTACTCATCAGACTGAGCCTGTTCGTCAGGTGGTAATAGGTACCTGCCCACTCAGCGTCTGCTACATCGCCCGCAGGCCCTAAGCCCGGCTCCGTGGCCCGTATTTTGTTAATTTCCGTCCCCTTTAATCACAGAACAAAATAACTCAATAAGATCTCCAAGGTCATCAAATTCCAGCTCCCCAGGTCCGCGTGCACGTTACCATACACCGGCAGTCTTGGGTTCTAGTGCCCGGTATGGATCCAGTTACTGGATTCCAACTTGTAGCCGCTGCTATCGGCCTCCTTGACTTCTCCGTTGGCGTTCTCTCGGATGCCTATGAGACTTTCAGGTCTGACATGGGACGACCGGTCGAAGTTGCGAAGGCATCGGAGAATGCGTTGCGGTTGCTAGATGTTGGCAAGCGGCTCCACCAGCGCGCAAGACCTGGATCGATACTACGGAGCCTGTCAGAGCGGTGTATCAAGACTTGTGAAGATCTGTTGGACACCATAAAAGACCTCCAGATAGAGAGCGGAGGGGATAACTCCGCGAAAGTCGGGCAGAGTATTGCTGTCGCCGCGAGGGCAAGAGGAAGAAAGAGGAAGATTGATGATTTGCTGAAAGATTTGACGAAATTAAAAGAGACATGACACTTTGGGTCGTGGATGATATTGTGTGAGTATTGAATCCTCCCATGGATTTTCTTTTCCTCCTTTTTTCTTCTTGTTCTTTTTTTAAATATATATGTATTAAAAAAAAAGAAACCCAAAAGTAGTAGCCTAACAGGAATTGTCTGACTAGGGAAAGGCAAAACCAGATGCTGGGAATTCATCAAAATCCTACGAGGCCCAATTCTGCAAGGGGAGCTCCTGATCAAACCTCGGAAAAGCCATTGCGGGTGGCATCTCAGAAGGATGCTGCATACCTCTCGCACACGACGGCTGAGATTGTCGGCAAGCTCTGGAACTCCGACTGGATGTCACTGATGCCCAGCCGTGATAGTAGTACAGAAAGCGAGTTTTGTATCCAAGATGTCCCAGTAGCCAAGAAGATCTTGAGCGACTTGTCATTTGGCCAAATGCACAGCAGAAGAAAGTCAATTTCGCTTGCGCACAAAAACACTTTGAAGTGGCTCCTTCGGCATCAGGGAACAAGAGAAGAAGGAGAGAATTTTGAATGACCAAGCTTCGTACAGTGGCTCCCAGGAGACCAACGAATCCCTCTAGACTACTGGATCCAGGGCGAACCGGGCTCGGGAAAATCAACATTGATGAAATTTGCCCTGGAAGAGCCGCAACTCCCTTCATATCTACGGGACTACGCCCAAGGCCTGCCACTTCTATTCGCCAGCTTCTTCTTTTGGAAGCCTGGGTCTGGACTTCAGCGCTCACTCGAAGGGGTCTTTCGAACGCTGCTATACCAATGCTTGGACGCCAACAGGTCCCTCATTCCTTTTGTCGTACCTCGGCAATGGATGTTTTACAACATCGCCGGAACCGACGCTACGGCCCCAAGCTGGACGCTGTCAGAACCGAAAGAATCCCTCGAAACCCTGTGCTCTTTCCACCGCCAAGAATTTCGACTAATCATCTTTCTCGACGGACTAGACGAGTTCGATGGGCTCGACAGCTCCGATGGGAACCCGAGCGCTCTCTTGGATTGGATATCCGACACCTTGGAACGATACAAGGTCAAGTTTTGCGTCTCTAGCCGACCCATGAATCACTTTGCCGATACTTTCCGGGAATATCGCTCACTAGCAATGCAACAACTAACGAGACGAGACATACAAGCCGTCGTGGAGGCCAAGTTTGGCAATTCCGCTGCCTACCAAGAAATCAAGGTCTCCCACCCCAAAGACGCCGACCGGCTGGTCCGTGAAATCATCGACAAAGCAGAAGGTGTGTTTCCGTGGGTTGATCTAGTTGTCACGACACTCTTGTCGGTCATGACAGAGCAACCGGAGCCGTCATTGCTTTGGGAACGGCTATCAAGCATACCTGGCGATATCGAGGGTCTGTACAATTCGATCTGGAGCTCTATTCCGCCCAAGAGGCTCGCGACTACCTCGAAAATACTCCAGACCTACCGAGCGCAGGATATCGATACAAGTCTTGTGGCTTTTTGGCTCGCCTGTGTGGACGCCAACACCAAAGCCTCTGCACAATTGGGTGCGCCCCTAGTTCAGAAAATGGAGAAAATTATGACGCGGTTGCTTAGCACTTATACGCGCGGCATCTGCGAAGTCTCTTCCGTGGGCCGTGTGGAGCTCCTGCATCGCACTGCACTGGACTGGATGACCGAGGACGAAAAATGGAAAGAAATCTGCGCCATGGCGCCCGCTGACTTCGAGCTCCCTATTGAACGCGTCCTTACTTCTAGCTCCGACCGAAGAGCTCCTCAAGACCCCGCGTCGACGGGACGTCTTCGACTTTGCCCGCTCGGGCTTCAGCCGAATTCACAGAATACCAGTTCAGGCCAGGATTAATCGGGACCACATGGTGCTGAGCCTCGACAACTTGAATAGGATAGCTTGCGATATTGTTGTAGCTGGCTGTAAGAGCGGTAACATCAGCCACCAATTAGCCGCCTACGCCAACGGCTCCAGTCCTGAGCGGTTCTCGAGAGCTGGCTGGCCGACCTTGATGCTGGGCGAGAACATTACGCATCTCGAGCTGTCATTCGTCGGTACTGCTGCTTCTGCGGGATTCACCAGCTATGTCAAGGCGAAGGTCGAAGCAGACCCGAGTTTCCTGGTTCCGAAAAGAGGGAGAGTCTCTCTGCTGGAAAACGCCATCTTCCCCTATCTCTATACCGTCTGGGAAATCGCCTCATCCGACGCCTTTTTCCTCCCAGATCTGAAGGAGACAAGAGAGCAGAGACTGAAAATCATCGAGCTCCTTCTCGGGGCGTCTGACGTCAAGCATGAGACAGCGTTGGGTTGTTCGATGTGCGATGCTGTGCACAAAGCGATGGTAGCGGTGCATCCCGCAATATTGGACAGCCTACCATGGTACGAGCAGGTCCTCCCATTGCTTAAAACGCATGGGTACACGGCAAACCATAGCGGGGGCGAACGGAAGAATGAAATAAGGGGAGGAACCGAGGACGAAGCCAACTGGAATGATGTGCCCGTAAGATGGCGCGGGTTTTCGGGGATGGCTGAAGATGAAAAAGGGAAGAGCGCAAATGAGGATTGAAACCGGAGGATGGGACGAAAGCGATGGATGGAATGATGATCGACCTGAAAAATTCTATAAGAACTATCGAAAGAGATGGATGAGAAGTGCCAATAACGAACGGTGGCTGCATGTGGGGGGACGAGTGAAGGTAACAGTGGCAGGGAGGAAGACAGCAACAGGAGGCGTGGCAGACGGCCGAGGGAAAACAGTGGAGGTGGCAGCAAGAGTGGAGGAGGTGACAGACCGACGACGCCCGGCATGCAACCAGGGCCGAAACAAGGGCTTCGGGGGAGGGTTTCTGAACTGCTGGGAAGGGTTTTCCGTGGGGGTAAAGCAATCCAGGTATGTGTGAACGCAGGGTGCGGCAGATTCGGCAAGGATAGACTAGAAGTAGTAAGGAAAGTACTGTGTATGTATGTGGCAGCTGTTTAGGGCCTGAATCATTGAAAATATGATGACCCCCAAACCCTGGTGATAGAGACTCCTACGAAGTATGTGTAAGTAGCTCCTTAAAAAAAGAATAAAAAAAAAAAAGAAGTTACGAGAAACACAAGCCAATAGAAACCCGGGCGCTCGGGCAAGTCTTGGAAGGAGTGGAACTCGCGCAGCCCGACGGAATGGCCCGAAGCCGCGTCACCCAACTCCCCATGAATCCCCACCGATTACGAAGTCCTGAAGCCAGATAACTACACACAGTACACTTCGTCCGTGTGTATTTCCCAATTATTTGCAGTTTGACAAGCTGTTAAACATACGATTTAACGTGGACATATCAACGTTAGGAGGTGACCATCAGGCGTGGTACACCTGGTACTTCGTAATATATGTAATTACCGTCACTTCGGTTCTTCTATCCCCTGCTTCCAATTTCTTTTGTCACAACAACAGCTTCCGCGACAGTCCAGCCCAGTGCCTCTCTGCCCAGCGCATTCTCGCTCGGTATTTGAGACATGAATTGAGGAACCATCTTGGTTGACATGACTACATATATCAATAGGTATGTCTGTTTTTCGCGCTTCGGCCTTCTGAGCAGCTGGGCGGCGGGTAGGGAGTCTACCCCTAAGATCTCCAACTTGGTATATGGAAAGGATGACACAATGGCGAACCGGGTGAGTCGGCACGGCTGGGGAAGTTTGGTGCTCTCTTATGGAGAGCAGCAAGGCCCCGTTGCATGTGTTCAGTGGAACCGCCGGCATCCGGTCACTTCACCTCAGCACACACTACAGGATACCAAGACTTACCAAGAATCCTGCAACCAACCACCATCCCACCATCGCGATAAGCCGGCCCCGCCGTGTGATCCTTGGTTCCTTGGTGGTGTTGTTGTTTTCAGATGCGCAATCTTTGGATGATTTTCTTTCCTTTTTCTTTCCGTTGGCACCGAATATTAAACCCGTACGGTATCCTGACACTGGACAGTGCCAACTGATACCTGTTCGCGCCATTCACACCGGCGGATCCCGAGACGACGCGCAACTATGGCCATCCCGAGACGGATTTTGCTGGTTGCGGTTGGGCTGGTGTGTTTTATTGGCTTTTTCACATTCCACCTGCATACCCGCGATACACTCTCAAACGCACGGCCTGAATACTTGTCACCCAACAGGATACCGACGCATTCGCAGAAAACTGGGCAGCTGGACCCAGAAGCCCACAAGCTGCCATGGGCCGACTCGTTCAGCGCCCACTTCAAGGCCCTGACTGACGTCAAGAACATCACCATGGCCGAGGCGAAGGCGGGATGTCACTGGCCGGCGGATGAAGATGTGAATTTCCAATACAATGCAGATGTGGGGTGGGTTGTCACGGACCGTCCCGACGAGGAAATCAACGCGCGCCGCAAAGCTTGGCAAGAGTATATCCAGAGCAAGATGATTCCCTGGGAGAATGTGAAGGACAAGTTTGACGGAAGGGGTGTGGTGATTCTTGCTGGAAATCATGACACCGTGATGCGGGTCAAGGTGGTGCTCAGGCGCCTGGCCAGGCTACAGTCCAAGAATCCCCCTCGAGATCCATTACTGGGACAACGAGATGACCGAAGCCACTCTGAAAGACCTCGCCGCCATATACCAGCCCATGTCATTCAACGACCTCTCCAAGCCCGACAACATCATCCAGGTGAAAAAGGACGGAGAGTACCTCAACTTTCAGCTCAAAACCGCCGCCCTCATCAACTCCAAGTTCGCCGAACCCCTGCTCCTCGACTCGGACAACATCCCCATCCTCGACCCAGCAAGCCTCTACGAATCCCGCGTCTACCAAGAATACCGCACCGTATTCTGGCCCGACATCGCGCGCTCGTGGCCGCAGAACCCGGCCTGGGCCATCACCAACACCCCCTGCCGCATGGACGAGTACGAGCAGGAGAGCGGGCAGATGATGGTGGACAAGCGGCGCTACTGGTACCACCTGCAGCTGGCCGCCTGGCTCAACAACGACCAGGGCCGCTACTACAACGAATTCCTCCTCGGCGACAAGGACATGTTCCGCTTCGCGTGGCACGCGCTCAAGACGGCGTACGGCCGCCCCAAGAAGTGGCTCACCAGCGTCGGCACCCTGAACGACGGCTCCTACTACTGCGGCCACTCCTTCGCCCAGCACCACCCGGACGACGGCCGCGTGGCGTTTTTGCATGGCGGCTTGGTTAAGTGGACCGCGCCGGAAGTCATGCGCTGGAATAGGGAGGAGATGGGCGGGTATTTTCGCCATTATAAGCGCGCGCCGACGGATGAGGATCCCGCGCAGATTGTGCATGTCGGGATCAAGTTTGACGAGGCAAAGTACATGCCGGACCACACGGAGCCTTACAAGGTGGCCATGTGTACCGATATGAGGGATCTTGAGGCTGGGAATTTGGACGACATTCTCCCCGGATGGGAGAAGGAATACGAGGAGTTGGGCGGATATTGGATGTTGGAGCAGGAAACGAAGTCGGTGGCTGAGTCTGAGAAAGCGGGCGCCCACGCGCACTAATAATGGCAAATCCAACTTGGAAGCTTTTGGGGGTCGGCGTCTGGGAAACTGGGACTGGATCACACCGTGAAGGAGCGGGCGGTTTAAGTTTGGGGTCTTTCAAGATGGCCTCACTATTGGAACGCGAGTCGACGAAAGCCCTCTTCCCGGCTCGATAATCTAGGAACAAATGGCTCTCGGGTTGCGAGCGGACCAGCCCTAACGTTTTGACGCCGGGGAGGTGGGCTACTCGGCACCGACTGCCCTGCGAGTTCCTGGATGTTCAGGTTTCATATCCCCGGATACGTCTAAAGCCAGTTTGGGGCTTCGTGAGAGAGTACGAGTAAGGGCTGGTTAATTGAGGGTGGTGGAACATGGTAGGAAGGACATGGACAGTTGTGAAAACGGATTTCGGCTTTTCGTTTTAACATGGGGCCTTGAGAGGAAAATCAGTGCTGAACTTGAGGGTATAAAGTTGGATCAGTCAAGTAGGAAAAAGTGTGAAAACAGGCGGTACTGTAATATTTTGCGGCTTTTGTATGATATATTATTAGTTTTCTTAAATTTTTACGCTTTTAATAAGTGGGAGTGGTGTTTCCACTTGCCGCAAGGTTCGAGCTGAGGCGTTCCGAGTTATTACATTTGTAATAGAAGCCTGCCCATTCTCCAGCTGGTTCAGATATGAATGATTATAGTTCCTTCTTGCCGTTCACTCAGTCTCATTGCAGGAGGTTCCCTACCATACCGCTGAACTCTTATGATTCACTAAAAGAGTCAAGGACCTCCTTGAATGAACATGAAGTAGGCTTGCTCTTTACTGTCAAAAACTCCAATTTCATCCATGATGCTAGCAAACCAGAAACAAACCAACGGCGGTTCAGTCTTCAGTTATAGCTAAACATCATTGCATCCATTAATTACCCTACAATGGAGGAATAGAAACCCTTAGTACCTAGGTACTCGCGCGAGCAGAACGTGGGAGCGGAATAGGGAAATATTTTGCGTCGTCATCAGTGCACATTATATTCAGGGCTCATCATCTAATATGCCCTCGAGAAAGATCAGTGTTCCGCGCCTCCCGCCCGGGTATGTATCATGCATCCTTAACCTGATTTCCTGATCCGGTCGTTTTCCACTCCGAAGCCCTCAGTGAGCCCCCTTGGTATCAACCCGCAACAGAGAAGGAAAAATATGAAAATAACCACCGCCTATGTCCTGAGCAATGTCCTCTCGAGTGTCGTGGAGGACGGTGTAAATATAGAATGGAGTCTTTGTGAGAATAACAGGCGAAACTCTTGCTTGTCGCATCAAATGAAAGTTGCCTGGAGGTGTTAATGACACCTCCGCCGGTAGTATGGGAAAGAAAATAAGGAGGAAATTGGGTAGGTTGCGTGGCTGATCCGAGACTGTGTAGTTTTCTGGGGGTTTGACTTTTTTTTTTTTTTTTTTATTTTGACGGTTGTGATGAATGATAGGAAATCGTTGGTAAAGAGCGAATGGTGGTCGGTCAAACATGCCTAACGGCAAATAAACAAAAGTAAGGAAATTGTCAAATGAGTGTGGTGTCTCGGGATCAGCCAGTTCCCTCCCCAATTCCATGATTCTTCCCGGCCGTCGAAGCTCGTCAAGCATCGTTGGTCAGGTGCAAGCCTGTGTGCTTCGCATCAACCGACGATCGAGGTGTTATCGAGAGCAAGCGTGCGCTCCCGGCGCTGATACGTCGTGCGTGCACCTTTCCGTAATCGACACTTGTTGCTCGCTGGAGTCCGACGCCGTCGCTACCGTCGCTGTTCTCCTCTGGATCTACCAGTTCAAGGGTGCCTTCATCTTCGTCGCCGAATGACTTGAGTAGGCCCTCACGGCTCTTCACCCGACCGTAGGCCTGCGAGCGCACGACTGTGGGCTGTAGACCCCTGACGCTGCCCCAGTGTGCCTCCTCCCAATCGCTCGACGGCCGCGCTTCTCCGGTGGACTTGCGATTCCACGCAGCACGGTCGCCGTGAGGAGGCGCAAGGCTTGAAAGGTAATCGTCATCGGCTATGTGCATATCGTCGTTGGTAGTTCCATTTTCCGGCCGGCGTTCGCTGTATGGCTCGGGGGTTTGACGGGGCAGCCGTAGGCCGGATGCGTGTTCAAGAATACCAGACGATTTCCGTTTCCTCCCCAACCCTCCGCCAAACCACGACCCTTCCGAGTCAATTGACGCTAGAGACGTAGCGTGCGGTTCTGGGGAGATTCCTGGCTCGTCTGGGTGGTTGACGGTCGACGGCGTCTCCCGCATTCGCTCAATAGACGTCTGCTGAGACACTGGCGTGTCGTGTCTCGGCCGGAAGCTAGAGGGCGAAGGAGCTGTTCCCACGACGGCGGGATGAGCAACGACCGATGTGTTGATTATAGTGCCAAGAGCTTCAACATCCGGTGATTGCACCCTTGACGCGGGAGGCGAAATGGGTAGCTCGGGGAGATCTTCACGGAACCGGGACATGGTCCGCTTCGGTACTCCGGTGTTAACGTGCCGTGGCATTGGATTGACCGGAGGCGTCGGTGCTGGCGTTGTTTGCATCGAGTCTCGGGATGCATTGGAAAAGGAGGATGGCCCCCCTGAGCTTCGCTTAGCCTTATTCGCCCATCTGAAGATCGAGGTCCAAGACCGTGGGCCTTTGGCGGTGTTGTTGGACGGTTTCTCGGATTGTTCTGTCCTCATTTCGGAGTCGTGGGGGGATTTTGATCGTGAAAACTTTCTGCGAAACGAGCCTTTGGAAGCAGCACTCGTGTGGATTGGCACATACGCCTGTATCTCGCAGAGAGCATCTGGTTGGTGCAACGGGATGCTGTCTACGCGGTGAAATGAGGCCAGAGGGTCGGATTGGTTCTCATCCCGAGCAGCTCCGAGATTGCCAACTTCTTTACCTTTACCCCGACGCACTGGCGAGTCACCCGACTGTCGTATCCTTGATGACGTGACGATGGCGGAACTTGGGCCGACCCCCAATCCAATATCCTCGCGTCCGAAGACACCTCGTTCTAGATTTGGTGGTGATTCACGCCCCTGGCGCTCCGCTTCCGCCTCTACAGCCTTTTGTTTCTCGGCGCGCCTTGCAATTCTCCATTCCAGCTTCTCTTGCTCTAGCTGCAGTTTCCTCGCCCGTCGCCGCTGGTCCCGTTCCATCAGCTCGCGCAAATCGCCGGCACTGAGGCCATCGGCGAGGCTGTCGATGCGCTTGTGTGCCCTGAGGGTTGCTTCGGGGATCGGCTCGTTCAACCTTGTACGTGGCGGAGATGGTCGGCGTACGAAGCCCGCGCCATCCGGGGCACCAGTGCCGAACCGTGGATGGGTGCTATACCGCAAAGTCGGGCGAGGTGCAAGAGCCTCGAAAGCGGAAACTTTGTAGGAGACGTAATCGGAATCTGAGGAAAGGGCGGAGTCGATGGATTCGGGAAGTGGTAGTGAAATGTCTGACGACCGGTTGAACTTGTCGAAGTCGGAGCCTTTGATACCGACACCGAAAGCTGGTCTGAATCTCTTGCTGTCTTTCTTCATTGGGCGGCCAGCCATCCAGTCCTCCGCGACAGGCCGCAAAGGAGCAAAGTTACTCAACGCTTTGATTTCAGCTTCGCGCTGCCGGTCATCCCTTCGTCGCTTCTTGCTGGACATTTTCCGTGACAGGTGATTGCCGTCCCTCTTGTTGTGAAGGGTCGGCACACGCCATAACATGTCGCCTCCCGAGGCGTCAGGCATCGGCGTATCTACCTCTCTCTGGGTTCTCGTGCTGTTTTTCCTTCCGAGGTGCACAGAGTCCTGGCGCCCCGGCGAAAAGCTGTAGGTCCTAGCCCTGCGCTGGAGCTTGTTTGAACCCGTCCGTTGTCGTTTACTCGCTTGGCGTTCCGGTAAGGGGATGTCGATGGGCATGGCGGCCTCTGGCACCGTCTGACTCCGAGGTGGAAGCCCGACCATTGCCACTCGTCCTTCATATTCTTCATGGTCCACTGTGCTAGCTCGCCCGCGCCTCCGGCGGCTTTTCCGTCGAAACGGCCACAGAGGCATCGTTATGTCGTGCGCGACAAACTTAGTATCGGTTGGGCGTATCGTCTTGTTGGCTGGGGCAATCGGTGCTGGACGGGCAACGGTGTAAATTCATTCTGAAAGTACCAAAAGGGAGCGACGTGTCGGCGGGGTTGGTTGCGCGACTGGCAAATTCGTCGAAGAGGCCTTGGGCAAGATGCCGCTAAAGCATACTTCAGTACGCCGAAATCCTGGTTGTAACAACTAAAACGAGTGCTGCGAAAAAGAAGGTGGAATGCAGCAGGCCGAGGATCGTATTAAAACAAGTCGTTCGTTTGGTACAATCGCGATGTCTGGCTGACAATGTGGGCGCGAGAGGTCGGAATGGAGGGAAATTTGGGCCCGAGTCCAGCAGAGGGGTATGTAATGGCGTTCGAGAGTATGTAAAAGCTATGATCACAATTGTAGAGCACTAATGTGCGGGGGGGAATGTCTGAGATGGATGTCTCAGAGAAGCTTGGAAGGGCCCACGCAATATTTGAGGGCTTGTGCAGGGAGCAGACCCGAGGGGAAAATGGGAAATCGATTGGCAAGGGAGAAAGCAAGGTACCCGGGCTTCCTGGCCATGCCCCCTGTTCACACAGAAAACGGAGTGTGCTGGTTTGTTGGCCACCGCCCAGTTATGAGCCCAATGAGCGTCACGAGCATGACCACGAGCCGTTCGAAAGCAATCCCCAAATAAATCCTCGCTTTTTGAGCAGATGCATATTTGCTGCACCCCGAAAGATTGCCATCTCGAGTGGCCATTTCTCCGTTTCAACCCGCCGTTTCCTCCCGTCTTGCCGGCCAGCTGCTGTCACAGTGGATCTGACGAAGCAGCCCTGCTCCTTGGCACCTGCCCCACCCAACGGCTTTGGATCTGCCGCTCAGCCCAGCCAGCGGTCCCCTCCAAGCTTGGTGGGCCAGAGCACCATTTGAGAAATGCCACTGTGGCCGAGTGAGGTTCCTGATGAAACCCCGTAACTGGTGCTTTGAGCATGGGTGAAAAGTTTTTCAGACCCTGGATGCCTGGCACCAATTTTGGAGGATGCCTTTGCGCTGCGCTTTGGCTTGCGCAATTCAAATGCGGACAGTGGGCAATGCTCGTATCCGTCTGATTCTCCGCTCCGACGGAGTGCACAGAGAACTGGACGAGCACAACGAGGTTGCAGGCGGGCCCGACCGCGAGATTGCTGCAGCTGGATATTATGTCATAGGAGCACGGCACCTCCCTCGCCACAGCCGAGCCGACCACAACGCCTCGATCGTCAAATGGCGCCGATCTATTGATAAAAAATCACTCACGGATTGCAGGTAGTGAACTAGTTTGGAGCAGTGGTGCGGAGGTGCAGCAAAGCTCCCCACGCTTACCAGCTCAACCTACCAGGTGCTGACTCCATATCATTCAATGCAGGGTCTTGCACCATCTGGGTGACGGGTTGGCTGCAGTGTCCAAGAATGCAACGTAGGGGATATCGATCACATCGACGCTGCTTGCCAGCCTGACACGTGTTTCCGCAAGCGTGCTGCGACAGTACATGTACGTACAGACTGTCCAGAGACATGCATCCATTAGATTTTCATACCATCTGGCAACAACGCGTGTTACTTTGGAGAAATACTTTGTGTGTGCGTCGCGGCTTCATGCGTTGTGCCTCGTGGGATCAACGGAAGCCAGGAAGCGGCTTTCGGATCCGGTCGCGGCCCGGTTGCTCGTGCTCATCGGGCATTGCCACACGAAAGCAAACAGGTCGAAATTGAGGCTTCGGGACTGTCTAACGATACTGGCAACGCGAGGAAGTCAAGCAGACCCAGGAACCAGAAAGCTTTCTTTTCTTGGCCGATGGGGACCAATCACGGGCCAAGAAGCCGCGGGGCGTGACGAAGCAACATTCACACACCCCCCACGAAAGAAGGTCAGAGCACCACTGGCTGAGCACAGAGACCATCGTTTCATGAATTCAGCCCTCTCACCCGAGGCGGCGAATGGGCTGCTGCCCGGCTCGAATCCTTTCTTCTTTCTTGTTGCTTGGCCAAAAGTTAGAACACAGGGCTCAAGCCCCCAGTTCATAGCATGATCGCTATACCCGACGCCCGATCGGCTAATATCCTCTTTCGAGGACGGCACGGCCCACTCGCGCGACACGACGCAGTACGGCCGATGACGCGCGAAACTGAAAGTTACTGGAAGGATACCCGACGCTGGACTCGTTCGGATATCACAGAGAAAGCATCGGCGAAGGGACGCTGCAGCTGCCATATTTTCAGGAGGGGTGGTGCTTTGCCCGCCTCTCATCAGATGTATGCTGGTGGTTGTCGATACACCAGCCAACTTCTTCCTGTGGCTGTCGTGGACCGTTTGGCAAGCCCTTTCGAGATCCCCTGCTCCGCATGCTGCTGTGCCTACGAATCCACGGCGATGGAACAGGGGCCAACATGATGCAGTGTCCTGCCAGTCTGGCAGCGTTCCTTCAGGGTCCAAACCTTTTGGGAGCCGGCCGGCAATTTAAACGCGGCACAACCGTCGGGGTCTGACGGCTGAACCGTTTTTGCGGTGTGATTTCTCCTGGAAACGGGATGACCTGCATGAACCGAGTGTGTTCTGCCCGACGGTACCTGAGCGAAGGAATGAATATTGCTGACATCACTGCGGAGCATGTGTAATCGGAAGTGCATTCAACAGCCTCCCACTATGATGTTACCAGCATCCCCAGGAACACATGCAGACATGTTTAAGACCACAAAATCCAATTTGGACCAGGAGAGTAACCCTGGAAAACCTAGTGAAGAGAGCCGGCTTCTCCGTCACGGAGGTGTCGTCTGCCGGAGCCATGGGGGATGAACACCACAGGCTATGAGTTACCGGACGGTAGGGGCGAGGTAATCGACCCGCTAGAAAACCCTCCCATCAATCTATATCCAGTATTGTGTTTACACAACTCCTTCCAAGCGACTTGAGGAAAATTATATTGTACAACAAGGGTCATAGTTAAAATTTCAGCATCGCACACTCGGGGAGTCTGCGGGACAGACCTGAACCGCAATGCATTAGTTACCTTACCTAGTTATAGTTAATTTATTCTCACTTTATAATAAATCACTACGCAGCAAGATAAGAAACCGAAAGGAGAGGAATTATAACTAAGAGTCGGAACGAGGAGGAAATGGCTCTCGACAAAGTTTGGGTTGGGTAAGTATCCGTTAAAATACATGTCTTGATAATTTTATATGCACTTAAGCACCCTTTCCCCCCAGTTCTGTTTCTCGAGCAACCTGCTAACCGCGCCCCGCCTTTGTCAACAATCGCCCAAAAGTCGTATCGCATTTCGATAGCACATCCCACAACGACGCGACCGGCACCAACAACCGGCAACATGGCCTACAATCCGCGAATGTCAATAATGCCGACCGCGCAGCAGCAGTCGCGGTCGCGCAAGAAAGAAGAGGAGGCGGCATACGCCAACATGCGCCTGCCCGACCGCGAAATCGTCGGCTGCATCAACGAACTCGGTATCCCCTTTACAATCGCCGACCTTCAGAAGCCGAACCCGATACAAGTCCAGATGATCTTTGAGTGGTTTGGGGAACTGCTTATGAACAAGTCACGGCAGACAGTGGACCCGGCGATGCGCGCAGCCGCCGAGGACCTCTGCGGCGACTTTGGCGAGTCGCTGATGCCACCCGACACGCGGAATCTGATGGGCTTCTTTGCGTCGTTGCGCCGGCTGATGCTCGATTGCGGCGTCAACGACTTTAATTTTATGGATCTGTACAAGCCGACTCACGACCGCCTCGTCAAGATTTTCAGCTACATCATCAACTTCGTGCGCTTCCGCGAGAGCCAGACGAGCGTCATCGACGAACACTGCAACCGCGCCGAGAGCACCAAGGCACGTATCGAACAACTGTACGCCGAGAACCAGAACATGGAGGCGCAGCTGGACGAGATGCGCGCCAACAGGAGACAGATGGAGGCGTTGGTGGCGGAGAAGACGCGGCGGAATGAGGAGTTGAAGAAGAGGCTGCTGGAGCTGCGGCGGAACCAGGAAAGGGTAGCGTCACGTTTGGAAGAGGCCAAGACTAAGAAGGGAGAGCTCGCAGCCGAGCTGGAGGAGAAAACAGCCACCAAACTGGCCCTAAAGCAGGACAGCGCCAAGCTCCGGCCATACACCCTCCAGAGTCCTTCAGCGCTCCAGTCGAGCCTCACGGAGCTGAGCAACACGCTTAACAACGACAAATCACATATAGACTCGCTCGATCGCCGGGCGCGGGCCCTGCAGACGTCAACCGACTCCTTCGCGGTGGTATGCGGCGACGTGGCTTCTTGTATCAAGCTGCTGGAAGAGATCGCGGTGGAACTCACCAAAGAGGAGGAGGACAACGCCAAGAATGCGAAGCAGCGGGATGCGCTTACGGAACGCGGCGCAAACGTGCGCGAGGTGGAACGGACCGAGGGACTTCTCCAGCGGCAGCTGTCTAAGTGGATGGAGCGGACCGAGACGCTGCGAGCTCAAAGCCAGGAGAAGGCCCAGCGGGCCAAGGAGAAGATGGAGGAGCTGCGTGCGGTGCACAAGAAGTTGACCGAGGAGCGGTCCGAGAAGGGCAAGGATATTGAGCGGAGGAGAGTAAGGATTGAGCAGATCGAGAAAAAGGTATGTTGCCCTTTCCAAAATGACGACGTTGGAGTTTGCTAACATATTGTCAGATGTTAGATCTTAAAGAAAACATCGAGAACGAGGTGCATGCGGCGCACGATGAGTATCTCAAGATGGAGGCCCACATCAAACTGTACATGACCGAGATGGAGCAGGCTATTTGAGCCCCGGGACCCCATCATGTCTGGATAATGTCGTAATGAGGTCGGTCGGTTGGGTATGGCAGACGGTTCTTGGGCTTCTCGGAATAGGATACCACGGGATAGGACGGTTGGCGTTTGGTTCGGGTTTGAAACGTTTGTCACATACAATTACACTGTACGACATTGACACACATGTCACCACACAAAAGCAGGCCAGGTCTCGCACGTCCATCACTCAACTCTTCCCATCCCCATCCCCGTTTTTCGCCACTTCCACACACACCGCCCACTCCCCCTCCCGAAAACGAAACCACCTCCCCAAAACCCTCCCCACCCCCACCGTCTTCCCAACCCACCCACTCCCCTCCAACTCCCCCCCAACCTTCCTCCCACCCCCACTCAAAACAGGCACCCCCTCCGCCAACACCTCCCCCATCGCCATCCTCACTCCCAACTTTCCCTCCCCCTCCCCGTCCCCGTCCCCATCCCCAGCTAAGCCCCCCATCGCACACGAACCGCCTGACACCCCCTCGACAACCACAACCCCGACCCCTTCCCTCCTCCCCGCCTCCACCAGCGCCGCGCTGCTCGCCCCCAGCCCCTGCACGCTCCACTCGCTGCTGCCGCGGTGCAGCGCCAGAAAGTCGTACACCACCAGCCGTGGGGGTGGTGGCGGTGATGAGGGGCAGCCCGCTAGGTTTCCTTCTCTTTGGTGGGGCGGTAGATGAGGAGGAGGAGGGGGTGGTGGTGCCGGTGGGGTGGGCTTGTGGCGAGTGGTTGTTGATGATGGAGATATGGGGGGAATGGAAGTGGCGGAGACGGAGAAAACGGAGAGGAAGGCGCGCAGGTGTGTTACCGTTGGTATGAACACCGTGCGTATGCTCCGTGTGGTGGCGAGTTGTGCTAGGTGGGGGGTTAGGAGGGGGTGTGCTTTGTTGTGCTGCTGCTGCTGGTGGTGCTGCTGCTGGTGACCGGGCTTGGATTTGGGCCGCCTCGGATGGTCGGCTGGTGGTGGTGGTGGTGGGTTGGAGTGGGACGGATCTGTGGTGGCTTGTTGGGTGGTGGGGGTATCGAATGGTTCATTTGTGGGATGTGGCCGGGGCTGTTGTTGTTGGTGGAGGATGTCTTGTGTGAGGGAAGACAGGAAGTCGGCTCGGTCAGCACATATTATGAGTATTGTTGGGTAGGTGCAGCTGTTGATGATGAACTGCAGGAGCTCGGATGGCAGAGCCGGAGAGAGAAAGAGGGGATCCATATGCGCGTGTTGTGTAAATTAAGCAGTGTTGGATACGTCGTCTTTCCAACGGTGCATCTCTCATGCAGTTGTGCCACCAACAATTGACATATCCCTGCTTCATTACTTGCATCTGAGCTCCAGAACCTCTCGATCGATTGCAGAGGGCACCTCCAGCGGACCGACCCGCACTGTTTCCCGTCCCTTCCCCACATATCCTTCTTTGCCGGTTAAGGGGTTTAGCTGCATACCCCACCATGGACTTCCAGGGCCGTTGAGCGGCGCAGATCACGTCACTGCTCCAAGCCACTGTCAATCCCCAAGACCAACACTAACGGTACCTTGAGCTCAAAGCTCCTAACGGAGCAACACCAACCACCCGACATGGAATCAATAGCAAGGATCTCGACTCTGCTCGAAAATGGTGTGTTCCACAATTACCCTAAATACATCACCGGCACTAACTTCCCCCAACAGCTCGTGATCTCACCCTCGACGCTGCCTCGGCCGCGCGAAGCTCGCGGGGCGCATCCCGACCACTCGATCGCACCCAGGTTAAGAAACTGTTAGACAGCCGCAATGAGCGGGAGGTTCTCGATGGACTACGGCGTGTTATCTCGGTGCGCTGCAACCCCGCCGACCTCACCACACCGACAGCTCGTCAGCTAACTGCTGCCTGGGTAGATGATGTACCGCGGCCAGAAAACACTCCTTCTCTTCTCGTCCGTCGTCAAGAATGTCGCGTCGCCGAACCTTGAGATCAAAAAACTAGTCTACATCTACCTCATCCACCATGCCGAACAGGAGCCCGACCTCGCCCTCCTATCCATCAATACCATCCAAAAGTCATTGTCAGATACAAACCCCCAAGTGCGGGCCCTGGCCCTGCGCACCATGTCGGGCATCCGGGTGCCGGTCATCAGCCAGATTGTGTCACTGGCCATTCGAAAAGGTGCCGGGGACATGAGCCCATATGTCAGACGCGCCGCGGCGCTGGCTGTCCCGAAATGCTACCGACTCGACCCCTCGCAATTACCTCAGCTTCTGGAGTACCTCTCAACCCTACTCGGCGACAAACAATACTATGTGGCTGGGGCAGCTGTGACAGCCTTCATAACCATCTGCCCTGAGCGGATAGATTTGATCCACAAACATTACCGAAACTTGGTCAGGATGGTGGTGGACATGGACGAGTGGAGCCAGCTGTCGACATTGCGGTTAATGACTGTCTATGCGCGGAAATGTTTTCCGAGGAGGACAAAGTCCGTCAGAGGAAAGGAGAAAGCAGCCGACCTTCAGGACTTCTACGGCGAGCGGTCGGAAAGCGGTTCAGAGGCTGAGCAGGTGGTGGTCCTCGACCCTGACCTCGAGCTCCTCCTCAACAGTATCAAACCCCTCTTGCAGTCGCGCAACTCAGGTGTTGTGGTGGCCGTCGCGAGGTGCTACTCTGCTATCGGCACACCGGAGTACACCAAGACGGCGATTGGGCCCCTCGTAGCGCTACTCCGTGGCGCCCAGGACATCCAACAAGTCGCCTTGTTCAACATCGTTTCCATCTGCCTCAGCTGCCCAGCCGAGTTTGTCAAGTACGCCACTCATTTCCTAGTCCGCGCAACGGACACACAGCAAATATGGGAGCTCAAGCTGGAAATGCTCACACTTATCTTTCCTCACGCTTCTACACATGTCAAAAGTCTCATTCTCAGCGAACTAGAGCATTTCAGCCGGGGCTCCGACAAGATGCTCGTGAGGGAGGCTGTACGGGCGATTGGGCGGTGCGCTCAGAGAGATACCACGACCGCACCTCGATGCCTACGGCTTCTTCTAAGCCAGATTACCAGCCTAGACGGCACCTTAGCAGCGGAAAGCTTAACGGTCATCCGCCATCTCATCCAACAAGACCCAACCGCGCACGTCGCAACTGTGGTGCGTCTCGCCAAGAACCTCGACTCGGCCACCGACCCTCAAGCACGCGCAAGCATCATATGGCTCGTCGGTGAATTCTCGGGGCTTAATGGCGAAGACAACATCGCGGCCGACGTGCTGCGCATCCTCGTCAAAGACTTCGCCTCCGAGTCCGAACTCGCCAAGCGCCAAATCGTCCTGCTCGGCGCAAGGTCTACCTACACTACCTCACCGCAAGATGGAAGAAACCCAACCCCAGTCTGAGTCCGACTCTCACCACACCGCCGCTCGATTCGACGACAACCCCTTCCAATCACCGCCCCCGGCCAACGGTCCCAAACTCCTCGAGGACAACGACCACCCGATCGCCAAGCTCTGGCGCTACCTGCTCCTTCTCGTGCGCTATGACACCTCGTACGATCTGCGCGACCGCACCCGCCTTTACAAATCCCTACTGTCGGTGCCCCAGCTCGCCACTCTGATGCTACTCGCCCCGAAGCCCGCCCCACAAGCCCCTAGCCCGTCCGAAACCCGCCGCGGGTACACACTAGGCTCGGCCGCTCTGGTGTTGGCTGGTGGCGGCGGCGTGCATGGCCTGCGTGGGTATGAGGACCTGCCGGGGTGGGTGGAGGAGGGCAGTGAGCCGGATGCACGGCTGAGGGAGGTGGAGGGCGCGGCGGAGAGGTATGGCGAGAAGAGGGTTGTGGCTGCGGCGGAAGGGCTGGATGCTGCTGCGGGAGTGACGTCCATGTCCTCTGCTGGCGCGAGGGCGTCGCCGTCTTCGGGTGTTGGGGCGGTGAGGGGACCGAAGCCGGCGAATGGGGTGGGGGAGAAGACGTTGGATGATTGGTTGGCTGAGGAGGGGAGTGAAGAAGAAGAGGAGGAAGAGGAGGAGTCAGGTGAGGAGGAGGAATCTGAAGAGGAGGAGGAAGAGGAAGAGGAGAGTGAGGAAGAAGATGAAGAGGAGGAGAGTGAGGAGGAGTCGGATGAGGATGCGAGGCTTATGCGGCCCTCGTGAGGCGCTATTCTGGCCTGCTAAAATAAAGACCCTGCTAAAATAAACAATAACAGGAGCGGTTTCCGTTTTCCCACCGGTCATATCCTTTGCCCCTTTTTCTTCCATCGCATCTTCCAAGTTTTGCTTTTTCTTTCGCTACAACGGCAATATTCCAATAATTCGTTTCAAGCACCCGTGGTTGTAATATCGGAAGTTTTCGACCCATTAACAGCCCAATTTCCGCCAAGTTGCGTAGAATCAGTGTCTTCTTATGGAAACGTTGACCCCATTGAATTGATGCCCATAGCGCGTGGAATCTCCCCAAAAGTTGCGGGCGAGGAGTGTGGGAAGATCGTTGAGGTCCCAGGGGGCTGAATTGATCGTCTGCTTGACGGTATCCTCGATCTCCCTGGCCTCCATCCCAATCTCCACGCTCCGCAGCCGTGCAACAGCCAGGTAAGCCGAGCTAAAACAACCGTCGGAATACGTTGCTATAAAATCTGGGATTGAGAATGCCGTTTTGGATTCGAGATGAGCCAGTTGACTTTGGGCGTATCTGACGATGTCGTGTTTGTTGTGTTCTTCCACCTTGATTCGAAAGCCGCCGTCTGAGTGCCGGAGCGAGTCATTCCGACAACTCACGCATATAAACAACCCGGGACGGCGTAGTCGGTTGAGACGTTGAAGAATCTCCTCTGCACCTTCCGGTCCGCATTCGTCCAAGCCATCGATAAACAGCCAGATGGGGCGGCTGGCTAAGATACCATCGATTGCCCAGTCCAGCAAGTTGCCGAGGTGGTCAGGATCCCATTTCCATGCAGCCCCTGAACCGTTCTTTTCGTTCTGCTTGTACGCGAAGGTCTCCACAAGCTGCGAGAGGGATGCTGGCTCGTGTTTGAGGATCTGGCAAAGAAGTGAGCGGTACATGCCCAAGGGGGTTCGCTGGAGCTCCTCGCCACGGCCGTGAAAATAGAATGACAAGGTGAGGGCGTTACTCTTTGCTCCCATCCTCTTCACCTCCCGCTCGGCATATCGTAGTAGTGTTGATTTTCCGGATCCCGCCTTCCCCTTGATCCACATCAGATTATCTGAACCGAACTGCCATCGCTCCCACTCCTTGTGCTGAAATAACCACTCGCAGGTTCCCGCTGTCGGCGTTTTTATCTCTAACAAACGATCATTCATTGCCCCAAAGGTCAAGGAAGCAAGGCATTGCTCTTCAGTCGTAACGGTGGGTACCGGTGGACTGTCACCATATGTTGATACTTGATTAATAGTTGTATCTTCGTTCCTGGTAGAGGTTAGACTTACCGATGGAAATATTGTGACCCGTATAGAATCTGAGTTCCATTCACTTGGTTCGAGATTGACTGGGGTGTTCCTATCTCGCCCGCTGCTGGGTTTATATCTTCTGAACACGACATTTACAGATAACTGTACACCAACTTCAACAAAATGAGACTAAATTCTGAATTATAACGAAGAGTGAACCAGCTTGAGCCCAGTGCGTGTTCATGGCCTAAGTAAGAATCTCAAACTCCCAGCGCTTAACTTCCGAGTCTGGATGCGACCCCTGTAGCGTAGCATCGTGTCCAGTGGCGTGGCGATCCGCGGAGTCCCATTGGCGCCTAACTCCTCTATGTCACTCCTGACTGGTAGCGACCAGGAATTACCCGCCGAATTTAGACGCCCTTCACTTTGGGGGCTTGAGATCTGTGGTATATATGTGTACATCCCATCAAAGATTCCAGCCAACGGTGCTGCATCTGAGCCATGGAATGGTGCAATAAGAAACACCATACCGCGAGGATTACTGGCAATAAATCACGGTAGCGTTGTCGGACGGTATCGGACCTGCCCCTGTCCCCTAAGGGTGCCTTTGATGCCAACTAAAACCGGTTCAACTCAGCCATCGCGTTTTGGGAGGGGCAAGGACTCAGAGGGACTAGGTACTAGCCTCCGCGGACCAAACCACCGGGGCTGCGGCCCACAAAGATGATAGGCCGCTCTACTAATTTTGTTCTGGTGCGGAAGACAGAAAGGCGTTCCTAGCGATCGACCGCTTGAACTTTAATCTTATTATCAGCCAGTCCATTGTCGAAGTTCAACTACGGTGGTTTCTCTGACCAGTAACAATGAAACTAAGAGGGCCACAGCCGAAGCCCGGCGACTGCCGGCGGAGGCTAGGCATGGGGATGAACCGTGAATCGGGTAGGGACCGTCTTAGTAGGTTGGTGGTTTGGTTGTATCTTCCTAGGAGATTGAGTTGTGCGAGGATACGACCCCGAGAATATAATTTGTCCCGTGTTATTTGTAGCAGTATATCCACCCTTGCCACATGCAGCTTATGATAACTATGAGGTTACAGGAACTATATCGATTTCACCCCCTTCCCTCCTGCTACCACTCCTAGCCCTCTCTTCCTTTTGCCTCAGCCGCTCCGCAACCTCCACATGACCCCGAAAACTGGCAACCTGCCTTGGAGTCCACCTCTTATTTCCCGCCGTCTGGAACACATCCGCACCACTACCCAATAACACCTCCACCACCCTAGCATGCCCCTTCTCCGCAGCCGCATACAAAGCCGTACAC